TTTTGAATGAATCTCTTGTTGCCTACAGTTTTAATCATATCTTAAACACCTTCATTTTTGTGCCTACCACTGCATGCATAGTTCATGTGCAATGCTGAACAATTTTGGTAGATACCCAATACTATTTACAAAATGATTTCAATATGAAAAAATCTACAAAACTTGTAGCAAATTCTTACAAATGCCACTGAGGAATTATTACTTCATAAAAACTTAGATGAACGTTTCCTCGATAAACCGAATGAGAGATGGATACGGTGACCTTTTTAAGTTGTTTACATCCTCGTCCTTTGGTTTCTGGTGGTATAGTTGTCTCAAAGTCTGGCAATCATACCACATCTCTTTATTTTTTTTTTAAATGTTTGATGCGAAGTCCCTGACAAAACTATATTTAATTATTTACTAATTATTGACAATACTGGCATATTATATCAAATTTTGTTTAAAAATACTTAGTGTTAAATGATATTATATTGATTTGTGTAATAACACGAATAGTATTCCATAATTGGTTTCGAATATAATTGTTATCCGTATAACTAATTAAATCTATTAATTGTCTGGAATGAAGGTTTTTGTCAACAATCTCAATGATTTCTGACATTTACATATAAAATATCCCAAAGTTTTCCTTTTTTCTCTCAGCTTGCAAATACATTTTCAACTATTTCCCTAAACAGACAACACAGAAAGAATAATAAGAACAATCATGTCATTTTTTATAATTTTTATAATTAGTTTTTATATCAAAGTCAAACTTTTTGTGTTATTTGTGTACAAATTAAAGGATATACGAGGCAACAACCCATCGAAACAAAAGCGGACAAACGATTTTCAGAAATTAACGTTTAGTCCTGAAAAATATGGGAAGCTCTGAAGCGCCCCATTTCAAAAAAGTTGACTTTAAGATATAACACAGACTATAAAAGATCAAAACCAAATTCCCTAAATATAAATATAACTTAATTTGCCACTCTTCAAAGGAAAAATATTAAGAAAACTACTCTGTGTTAATAACTTTCATAACACCGTTACTTTACCCTATTAAACGACATATGCCTAGTAAGTAAGCTGTATTATTTATATCATTCATTGGAGCCAGGAATCTCTAGTCGTTTGGTTTATAGAAGAAGAAGAATTATTTATTTATAATAAACATTAATTTCCCGTGCCTGAGTGAGATATGAAGATTTGTTCACCCAAGAAAATTCATATTTCCCGAGGGCCTCGCCCGAGGGAAATATGACTTTCGAGGGTGAAGAAATCTTTATATCTCCCTATAAATCCAATGGAAATGATTTTTTTTATTTCACTGCCTATACTACGTTTACTTCTAAGTACCTGAACATTAAATATTAATTTACATACTGTTTTCTAATACGCTTGGTTTCATAATAAACAAGACATAATTTAAAAACATTGATACACAGTACCGACCAAAACTTTAAAATTATTTATTATTTTTGTTTTGATTTTATGTCTGAAATAATTTTGAACGCGATAATGACTTTACTATCGCAATTAAAAATGTCCGAAACGTTAATTACATTAACCGCGCGTACCTTTGCACTAGGTAGTCCCGATGTTCAGAGGGTAATATGAAGTTTTGTTCAATGTCACGTGGAATGGTCTCAACCAATCAAATATTGATTAAGCTATCAAATTTAGCATACAGTGGTTTAATAGTGTATGCAACCTGAATAAACAAATAAATACATGTTTTATAATACAAAATAATCAGTCAGACAAATAGGCTTATAATAATAGTTTATTCTGAAAAATGAAAATGATTTTTGAATCGAAATTTAAGCTTGATACTAAAATGAAAGAAAAGGTAAACGCATTTACAGACAGATGTTATAAGATTGGTTTGGTAGTTTATACACACTATGTTGATTGATTTTTCAAAATTGAACAGTCAATAATAAATTGTGCCACAGTTTTACTCTTAGTACTATTTATGAGTTCTTTCAATTTATACATTGATGAAAGGTTAGGGAAGTCATAGTCATGTAAAGTTTGAAGCTTTCGAAGGAGTTCGTTACGAATGTTGTTATATAATGTTCAATTAATCATGAAATGGAGCTCATCTTCTACTTCGCCACTGTCACACATTTTGCATAGTCTTTGTTCAACGGGAATATTTCTGATACTCCCCTTTCCAAGTTCTAGAGGGAACGTTCCACGTCGCATTTTCGACAAGGCTGATCTTTGATTTCTGTTGAGACATTACTTCAGATATTCCTCCGTTATAAATTGTGATTTTATATATTTGTATGTTCTGAGTTTTGGCATATTTTGAACACTGTCAATTCACGACAAGTTATGACGTTCTTTAAAAGAGTTTTTCACAGTGTCCAACACATGAGGGATTGAAAAACTGTTTGCGTTTTCGGAGGTATTATATAGTTTAGTCCACAGGATTCTATACGTGTTTTTGCATGGTTGAACCAGGCTAAATATCTCTTGCTCCCATTGAAATACATTATGTGCTACGAAAAACCGGATACCACCCTATTTCTCCCGTTATAACCGGTAGGGTAGATGCCATACCAACAACAAGAAAAGTTCGTATCGCCCGATATTGAAGCCTCTCTAATTTACAACCCTTTACACCGAATGTGTATTCTATTATCGAAGAAACAGTGGAACAAAACTCTTTCTAATAAGTAGCATATTGTCCATATCGTTCATTTCATAGTATTTCGAGGTAAATGACCTGCTCCCTGTTGATACAAGTTCATCAACTGATTCTTTGAAGTCTAGGTACTGTGTTATTACTAATTCTCTGTATCTGTATTTTGGAACAACTTCAAGGACCATCTCATCAAAGTCGAATCTGTATTCACTTTCTGCTTTGGGAACTTTTCGCACATACAAAACTTCAGTCTTATCCGTATTGACTTTTAGGTTCCATGTTTTACTCCATTCACTTACGCAGTTTATCTGTGTTTGCAGTCCTTCGCAGCTATCCGATAGAAGAACTATATCGTCCGCATAGAGTAGGCAACTCATACAATTATTCCCAATATTACTCCCTAAGCCTAGACGATTAATTTCTGGAAATAAGTCATTGTTAAAATGTAGGAGCAAGATTATCCCCTTGTCCTACACCCGTCTCTACTGCGAACCAGCCAGTAAGATGACTATTTAGTCGTACAGCTGCTTGCAATTTTGATCATGTTGCCTTGGTTGCCCTGCACATATTACCACGTAATCGTTTTTTAGATCTAGATTCGTTTATATTAAATGCATGTCTTGATTCGTGTATTTTTAATGCTTTAAAAATGGTCTGAACATTTGCCTATTTAAACGACTAGTTTATTTTCTCGTTATATTGTGTTGTTTTGTAGCATTTGACCTGGCCTTCTCGAAATTTACTTTTTTCAAACTTATATGGATTAATGAATAACAAATTACAGAATCGAATATCCTAGCTCAACAATAATACATTTTTAATTTAATAGTTTGTAGTAATACTTTGTAGTTTTGATCTTCACAAATCGATAAATAAATGATTGGTAATGATATTCCTGTCCGTTATTCAATACAATACACCATGCAATTTTTCAATATTTCAATATTCTATTAAAGTGTCATTCATCTCTCATTAATACTAAATAAGTGTAAAATATAGATATAAAAAAGAGAGCCATTCAGTACAGAATTATAAGAGACTATGACATTAAAATATTGTAGAAAAATCGTTTATTATAAAACATATTTATAGGTACATTATATACAGTGTAAAACGTTTTACGTCTATTTAGAATAAGATAACAGGCTATGCCACAGCTACGAATCATGTCAATATCTGTAAATAAAATCAATTTGAAGATATAAAATCACTATTAAAACGTTTTGCTTCATCAAATATGTTTTTCCTCAAATCATTATATAAAGGACACAATAAAATTATATGAGCTTCATCTTCTGATGTATCCTAAAATTATGACAGACTCGACATTTTGAAAGTAAATTTTCCAATCTCGCTGTTTCGATTTTAAATGGTGCCAATCCACATCGAAATTAAGCAAAACACTCCTTTGTGGAAATGGCATTTGAACTTTGTAATACGTTTCAGTTTCAAAACTGTTCTTGAATAAATCATATGTTTATTGTCCCCTTTACGAGACAGAGCCCTTTCTGATTGTAAATTACATTACAACTGATCAACATATTTACTGAACATTGTAGACATACTAATAATAACAAATTAAGTACTATCCATACATTCTGTAATGTTACACAAATATTATACATCGTACTCAGAAAATGTTTTCCTTTCATAAAAATTCCAATTTTATACATCTGTGTTTTCGACTCAATGTGAAAACTTTTCTGTTTAACCGATGAGAACTCATATTGTTCAAACGGCAAACAAGTCGAATTAAACATTGTCATTGTTTTTGAAAGATAGATACCAACCCCATAACCCCTGTAACTGCAGCATTAGGAGTGTATATGCTAACTAAAAAAAAAAATTGTAAGTTCTATTATGTATGGTATCAATAAAAGAAACATTTTTGCAACCCCAGACACCAGCACCATATTCAACAATTGAGAGCACCAAATTTTCCATGTAGTTTGAAAAGACCTTATGAGTAACACTACCTATATTTTGCACTAAGCTATATCAAGATTAAGTGAATAGTTTACATCTCATTTGAACTAAAGTTAAAATGAAACATAACTTTTAACATAAAAAAGATAATAAAATCTTGGAAACTATGGTATCGCATACTTGGAAACTTTATCTTTTACATATGATGTTCAGAAGTGAAACCCCTTGATTATTTTAACAATTATTATAACATAAATATATGTAAGCAAACCCCGGGAAACTATCAGTTTATCATTCAACCTTTTCCTACCAATTATTCTTAAGAAAAGAAATAGAGTGTATTTCTTTAAAATATGTATTTATTGTGTATTTTGCATCATGGCTGCTTTTCTGTTCACGTACTAGTTGTCTCTAAGACAAACATTGGTTTTTTCAGGATTAAGAATAGGTACATCTGCAGAGGTATTATTTCGAAATGACCATAGCATGACATATTCATCATTTGAATGGACTGGAGGTCCAGATATCTCTGCATCGGTTGTAATTATTGACGACAACAATATCACAGTGCCTGTGACATCTGATAATGTCAACCATGTTGGATCATTCAATATCACGTCTAGTAATACCAACACAAAGGAATTTGGTGTATACCACGTACAACTAATTATTTCAAACAGTAAAGGAACTCATCATGAAGACATGGCTTTGTTTTATGAGGAACCCATTGTCCTTACCTCTGTGAGTATCAAATAAGTCTATGATCAGCTATGGAATATTCTTTCTTACTAATATGGTGGTGGTGATTTACCATATAACAACTAAAATCTCGTATTGTCTGTATCAATGTAAAGATTCAGATAAAAAGGTTAATACGAGATTTTAGTTGGCATTAATGATAGATTTCTTAGACAACACGATTACCACTGGAAAGAAAACAGCTACCGTTACTGCAATGATGGAAACCGTTATTCATATTAGAAAATTTTAGTCCTTGAGAGTGCTTTTTTATTTACTGCTGGGTATCTTTGACACTGTATTTTTGTGTTTTATGTTTGGTTTGTTGTTATCTATTTACGTTACTATAGAAGAACGTGTATTTCCTGTATAGATTTTTGTTTTATTATCTGTTGTGTAACATATGCAAGGCAACTGGTTGAGATTAAAAAGGGGGTTGAGATCTAAATGAAATCTATGTAAAAAAAACTGAGGGAATCGCATGAACTCCGAAAGGATCGAGATCGGGTGCGTCGATAGGGAAAACGTCTCCTGCTGTGCATGCATCTCCTTAAATGTGAGTCCACACATACAGTTATGTTGACCTCTAGATGTTTTTTTATTATTAGTATCGCTGTGTTGCTACCTCATTGACGTGTAACTCCTTTTATTCAAAGTCTTGCGCAATAATCAGTTTTTGCTATATTGAGAAAGGGTTTCTGCTTTGGTCCCTTTACTTGTATTGGTTTTGCGATATGTTTACCGGTAGATCTTTTGCCTTTCTAACCTCTTGACTCTGTGAATCTCTGATGAAGGTTACTCAAGAAAGGCAATTCGAGCACGTTAATTTGGTTCTGGTGTGCTGAACGTTTCTGTATTGTTTGATTGTAGTCAACAGATTTTAAACATATACATTTTTTTCTAGGTGAATACACCTTCAGAAGTACTCCTTAATTCAATATTGGAAATGACCGCTATATTGTCATCCGGTAGTAATGTTGGATTCGAATGGATAATGAATGACGACGATTCTGCTTATAAATTATGTCAACATACAGTACGCGAGTGTACAACTAACTACACTTATTCTACAAATGGCACATTCAATATAACTTTAGTTGCTAGAAATGAAGTTAGCTATGGAATTCTTACTGATATAATTGTGACTGTCCTGAAAGAGGTCACAGGGTTCAGTTTTTCTCATGTCATTGGCGCAGTTAATACAACAAGAAGTTCAGAATTCATTTTGAAACTAGACTCAACAGATCGACAACCAATGGGAAATCTCACACTTGTTATAGATTTTGGTGATGGAACGTCTGAAACTTCGAATGTATATGATATAACAAATACAATGGTGACACCAGGGAAAACCTTTTCCCACTTGTATTCGCAGCAGGGAGAATTCGTTGTAAAGGGGAATATAAGCTCTAAAGTAAGTTCCCATAGTTTCAGTAATATTACAGTAAACGTGTGGGATGACATCTCTCAATTATCTCTTGATGTAGCGAAATTCGCACATCCTGGTACGGATGTTAGTTTTCAATTCCAGAACTATCCACCGAATGGTTTTGAATTTTCTATCTCATATGGTGACGACAACGAACTGAAAAGCGACTCGGGTGTCCAATATAATGCATTTGACAGTACTCCGTGGACACATAGTTATTCTTCTCCTGGCGTGTATGAAATCACTTTACATGCCATAAACCCAGAGCAGACAAAAGACTGTAAACTAAATATAACAATCCAATATCCTATAACAGAGCTTATTATTTCCCCTCCGGCTTTACCGTTTCAACAATATCCTATACCAGACGGAATAATCGGATTCGAAATTTCACAAGTTTCAAATGCAGAACCACCGACAAATGTTACTTGTTCTTTTTCTTTCGAAAATAACGAAGTATATATAGAAAAAAGTGTTTACATCGCATACATGCAGCCTTTCAAAATGTCTTATACATATACGACAGAGGGTAATAAAAATGTAAACGTAACGTGCATAAATGTAGTTAGTCAATTTACTGTTCTGACTCAACTTGAAATGAAAACAGTCACACTCAATGATTTTGGTTTCTCATATCCTACTGAACTTAATGTGAATATGTCTTTGAATAGAGATAATGAATTAACTGATTTTTTTGAGGACATCCAGTTCAACATAATATTATTTAACTGCACCAGATTTCCGATAAATGTTTCGTTAGAGTTTGACTTTGGTGATGGAACAACTTTATCAGATATTGTTGATTTTAACGTTCAGCACAACTTTACAAAAAGAGGACAGTTTTTAGTGGTTGTTACTATATCTGACACGACATCAAAAACCACAGTCAATTTACCGATTAAGATTGGAAGGATAGATTTTACTGTCGACAAATATATAGGAAGTGTTGGTCATCTCCCGTTTGTTTTTAACATTTCTGGACCGCCAAGTGGTGGTTCATACCAACTTCTTACCAACGACAGCAATAAATATAACTTATCAAGTTCAAGTTCCCCAATTTTAAAATCACATGTTTATAAAGATTTTGGAAAATATCATCCACAAGTGATAGCTACTTTTTCCGATTTTACTGAGATAGTTTACCTTGAAGGACCTCTCAATACAGATTATAACCTATCCGTGATCATGATAGATTTTAATACAACTGTAGATCTACCTCCAGGAGAAATAACAGTTATTGTATCTAAGCATCCTTTAGCGGCCGATCTACCGAATGTAAAGTGCAGATTCGATTTTGGCGATAAAATCGATGTAGTACCAAAAGAAAAAACACAAGATATAACTAATGAAAATCCTTTGATTTATCATTTTACCTACTTTACTCTGGGCTACCCTATAGCAAATTTTACCTGCTTTAACCAATATGATCGCAACGAAAACATCACAACTTTAACTGTTGTAAATGAATGCTTCCCCTTGACCGGAATATTTGACAGGCAATATTCTAATACATCAAACCCATTGAAGCTTATTACATCAGAAGATGTAGATCTATCGAGCAGAATGCCTGTGAAATGTGCAGATAAGGATGTCGGATATAAATGGAAAATATACAAAATTGTAAATGAAACGGAAGTCTTGATCAGTTATAACTCTTCCGAGCCACCAAAAGGTTCATTGAGGTTCTCTAGAGGAGGTGTCAGCGAGGGTTTATACAAAGTTACTTTAAACGTCAGTCTACCAGAAACATATGTATTTGAACCAACATTTGTACGGTTTATAAAACCGCCTCCATTTGCATATATCGATGGTGGATCTCAACGGCAAGCCGCATTAATAACACCTATTGTTAATATAGATGCTTTGACACACTCGTATGACCTGGAGCAAGGATACGAGGGAAACGACAACCTGGCATTTGATTGGTCATGTAAAATGTAATTATTGTTAATGCTTTCAAGTTGATACTAAGAGGTTAACACTATCTAAAATAATTCGACACATTATTAAAGGGGCCCCCCATTAAAGATTGATTTTTTTGATTTTTTGTTTAGTACAGAATGTATAGAACCAAGAACTCCAGTATTCATGGGAGTCCATTAATACAAATACTTTGGTTGGGTTTGAAAAACATAAATCATTTGTTAATGGTTTGATATGAAGTTAAATCACCGACATCAACTTAAACTAAATAAGCACTGGAAAACACACAAAGGTAAAATCGAAATATTAAGGGTTTAAAAAAAAAATGAGACCGTGTGTGTCTAGCATAAGCTGGGCTACCTTTCTACAATTTTCTTATTGCATAACACTTTCTTTTATATTTATTTCTTTGGTCGGTGTTTCATGAATGTATCTGAATTTATTTTTATTTTATACAATTTTTTAGGTTAGCTGCAGCAAACAGTTTGGCAGACCTGTCAAAGGACTACGAGAATAATTTGCAATCATTTCTCGACTGTAACGAGTTACTCAACACAACGTTTCCACGTGGAAAAACAGTATTGAAGATGCTGAACGCATCATACCAAGGTTACGCAGTATCAGTGAATGTTTCAGTTGATAACTTAATAACACCGTTTACTCAGCTGATATTGGCTGTTCCTGGATCGCCCCCAATTGTTTCTATTGTGTAAGATTTAAGGATTGTGTTTGTTTATATATTTTTTTATTAAATTATACAATAAATAATGTGATGAAAGATATTGTTCTAATTGAAATTGCAGTTGAAATAATCGAAAATGAAAATGAAAAAATGTTTATTCATGGAAGAATTCTGTGTCATATAATTATGCCAATGTTTTTGTCGCAATGGCAAAAATGACATTTAATAGCATAAAATGAGAACAAAATGCAATATAACTGAAATTTCTTTTAAAGGTGCACAATCAACTGCATGGCGAAATATGCTGTAATGGTGAAATCTATGTGGTATGTAGATTGTAAAGACTGTACACCAAACGATGTTCTGTCTTATCAATGGAAGATGTATTACAAAGACTTAAATGGTGACTGGATACTTATATCGGATTTAACTGAAGTCAGCGATATAAGTATGCTCAATATAATAGAAAATATAGAATAATATGGGGTTCGAGCGAATCAAGTAAAAGTCATATCTTCTATATATATATATATATTTATAAACACATAAAAAGTGTACAAAACAACATCAATATGAAACATTAAATGTAAGTATCTATAAATATTTTGGATAGCAGATATTCTTCATCAGTATGATTATGATGTAAAATGAATCATATCAATCTATTCTGATTTAACTATGAATATAAATATATATATGGCACCGACCTTTATCTCGTAACTCCTTACCACCTGACACGTTTTCAATTCATTTAACTGTTTTACTCTTTGGTTTGCCTCAAATCTACACAACAGGGGGCAGGGGATTTGACCAACCTTCGTCTCGTTTAGCGAAACCCGTGGATACGTTTACAGTTACTTCAATATTCCAGTTCCTGTTTGCCAAAAGCTTATATCTTCAAATTGTCATGCCTTTTATGAAATTTTCGCCGCATTTACATTGTTACCAACAACATTAAACGGGATAAAATCAGTGAGTAACAGCTCACACTATTTTATGCTATACTTCTGTTTATTTCCAATTTATTATGAAAATATATTTCAGGGCCTACAAGCAAAAGTTTTGCAATCAATGACAACAAACTACAAGTAGAGCGTGATTATAAATTGACAGTTTTTGTAACTGGTAATGGTCGTGATGGGGTTGGAGAAGCATCATCGACATTTTTCACAAACAGTGCTCCATACGATGGTTATTGCAAAGCAGACCCACCAATAGGTAACTATGTTCTAGTAGGCCCGAGAACACAGTTATTTCGTAGTGCATTTCTTTTTAGACAAAAAACGCAAATTAAAAACAATCGTACCTGCTTTATCAAAAAAAAAAAAAAAGATTTTTACAGTGTATCGGCTCTAACTCAAAATATGAACAATTTTGTGTTAAGAAGGTCTATAATTCAGTCTGACAGCTTCAGACATACTAATTTTTGACTTTTCAAATTTGACCAATTCACTACTTTACCTAAATATTCATGCCCCAAATTTTTCCCCAATGTAATTTCATCCCCCTTCTTCCTATTTTATGCATAAAATATAAAGAAATGAATTTTGAAGGTGCATGAAAAAAAAATGTAATTTATACACTGTCCACACTAGAGAATCTATTTGTAGACAAAGAAAATCAAAGGACGATAAATGTGTCCCCGGACCAGTACAATCAAACAATTAATCTTCAAATTGAGAATTGTCTTAAAACAAATTCAGAAAACTCTCATTACAATGCTGTAAAGAGCAGCTATTTTTAACAGATTGAGCTACGGACATGTGGTGTTCTCTTCGTAGACACCAACAACCGAATTACAGAATTACTAGGCGTCACGTGACAATAGAAAAATGCTTATTAGGTCAAGCTCATGCTCAAGATAAAACTAATTTTGTGCACCCTATACTTGTTCCCCTTCTTTTGTCGACCAGAGGCATGGCATAATGTGTATCCCCCCCCCCCCCCCAAAAAAAAAAACAATTGAAATAGGTAATAAGGTATTTGCCTCCATTTGATCTCAAATGACACATTCGAAAACAAATATACGCATATATTTTAAAACACTATTATTATAAGCTCTATCAATAAGTATAAATTTTCAAAAGCCCAAAGAATAAATTTTGAAGGACATTCTTCGACCTGTTAATTTTATGAATATATCATATAACCTCGTTGTGAAGTACACTTTTTTTTAATTCTGAAAACAATATTAACTAGCTAACGTAGTTCATCCTTAATAAAATGAAAAATAACATTAGAAAACGAAAACTCATGCTGTTCTGTCATTAATAATGTTTCCATCAATGCTGTGTTTTATCTAACTATGCAGTAAAAATTGGTCTTCCGAATATTGAAATCATTGGAAATGTACGCACCTACGGAACGGGAACAGTATCGGTTGGTATCGTAAGTTGTAAATAAACAAAATCATATCGTAATTGAAAAGACTCACTTTTTTTAATCAACTTCTGATGGAATCCTCAAACACAAAATTTTAAAAACACTAATATATGTACATATAAGAATAAAACAATAAGAGCTGCAAAACAAAAACAAAAAAATTGTGGTAATCTTTTATACATCATCATTGGTGTTTTTAATTTCACGAATACTAGAACTATAATAGTTGAAGATAATCGATTGGAATTATTTCAATCTAAAACGTTTTTAATTACAAAACCTAAACTGAGAAACTTTATAATTCCTAAAATTGACCAGGGGTTAAAAAGACTACAATGGTAATTTTGATAACGTGATTACCATGACAACCGAATGATTTACGTGTGGCCCTATCAACACGTAAAAATTACAAACCCTTTTATTGAAATAAAAAGCTCCTATAATGTGAAATGAGTATGAAACGGTTCAAACCAATATCAAATAAGGAGATGTGGTATGGTTGCCAATAAGACAACTTTCCAACAGTGTCCAAATGAAGTGTTGTAAGCAACTACAGGTCACAGTACGGCCTTTATCAATGAGAAAAACATATTGTATATTCAGCTATAAAAAGCCCCCACATGACAAAATGTTAAACCATTCAAACGGAAAAAGAAATGAAACGGCATGATTAATATACAATGAACGAAAAATAAATATGACAGATAGCAACCAACGACAACCACTGAATTACAAGCTTCTGACTTGGGACAGGCACATACATAATGTGGTGGAGTTACTGTATATAGCACCATTACAAATAAGTTTTAATGTTGATCCCAATTACACTTTCTTACCTGTAACATAGAGACAAAAACACAATTATGAATATAAAATTTACTAATACACTTCATAATATTTCTATTTAATGTTAGGTAATGCTTCTAAAACATCTTTTCAAATAATGTGCTTCGACTGGAAAGATGAGACAGAGAATCCAATGAAATATGAGTTCCTCATGGTAGAAAGAAGTAATGAAGACGGCGGTATTGAGCAGGAAACGCCGTTCCAGTTTGGAGGTTTGAATATACGATTCGTTCATGCACACACTGCGACTGTTTCAGAAAACAAATGTTAAAAGTTGAAATAAATGTATTTGCAAAAAAGGCGGAAGATACCAAAGAGACAATCAAGATTCATCAGATGAAGAAAGCTGACAAACGATGGCAAAATAAGTACGGAAAGACAAACAGCAGTCCACAAAACATTACATGCAGATCCTACCAATTCGATTTCTGATTTATGTGTTCTCGTCCTGTATATGAGTGAAATAATTGTCACTGGACGATAAGCAAACAATAATCAATAAATCGATCAACCATTTATTTTAAGATCGAGAAAGTTATTAGTTAAACTTTTTGGTCAAGGTATGGTGAACACCTGTATGTTAAGCCTAAAGAACGGTGGTCAGTTGTTTATGATGTGAACGCCGGTATTTCAGTATTAACATCACAGTTTATTATTAAGAGTCAATTTACTTATTCCATGCAGTAATGTTTCTGGTCCAAAATGCGTATGTTAAGCTCCATTTGAGCAGATAGTTATTTTTTTATTTAATACTGAATGTTTTTATGTATGTATGTCTTTATTATAAATTGATAATATGGTTTCAGGTGAAATGACTGCGACAGAAATCAAGTTTCCTGTCGGCGATTCGAACAACAACGATACCCTATACTTGCGCGTCAAAATATATGATGTTTACGGCGACTACAATGTGTCAGATTTTACAGTTATTGTACGTATCCAAGGTTGTTAATGGGGTATCCAACACTTGGACAAAAACAGATTTCGCTCGTTTAATTTTCATAAAATTTTGAAAAAAAAAATTCTTTCACCAGTTGACAAAAAAAATATAAAAATTTCAAAAAATTTAAACAACACAATTAACAGAAACAATTTCATTGGGTATATAGCAGTTTGGCAAGCACGAATTTTTATCATTGAAAAGCTTGATTTCTCTTTACTAATAGTATGTGATTAAAACGTTTAGCTGATTTTAAAAGAGTTAACTCCATTTGGTGTTCTGTGCCCCCTAAAATATCATTAATTGGCACTTCAGATATATATATATATATATATATATATATATATATATCTTTTTTACCAAAATACTTCAGAAGCGTTGCAATACAATTCATTAATAAATACATTTGAATAAAAGTCGATGAAAATGTGTAAATTATTGGGATCCTTATAGAGTTTATTTGTTCCTAAAACGATCATTTTCAACAAGATATTAATCAAAGTAACATTGTTACACAGCCAGGAACTATTCCAATTACCTTGATAGTCACATAGAAATACGGTTCTTATTATATGCTAGTTATTTAAAAGTTTAGAGACTTATTGGTTTTGCTCAGTTCTTATTATAATTCCCTCTTCTTCTTCTTCTTCTTCTTCTTCTTCCACGCGCTTCAAATTTGAACTTGTCCGCATTCGTTCTCCAAAACCGCTAGTCAGATTTACTTAAGGTTCAACAATATTTTAGACTAGCATGTCTAGTGGTGCAATCAGGGATTCTTCAGTAATGACCATGGGAACATATTGCTTACTTAAGGTCAAAAGGTCAATGGTCAATTATGACCTTGACCCTCAGACCTTGAATTGTATGAATAACAGGGAGAGTCCTTATGGGTTTCTTCTTATGAGGATTTGTTTAGGATACTTCGTAACAGCATCCTGTTACAATTGTTTCTTAGTTTTTGTATGTGGACCTGGTTACACAACGTATAAAACCAGATTATTGTATGGTGATGTTGGGCGGGCAAGGAAAATTGGTACTCATTTTGTGTAACCAACTCCTCCTGTTTTCAATCTAGACCCATTACTAAATTTTTTCCGATTTTGACAAAATTCAAAACGAAATTGATCAGCTAAACAAGATCATTTCCATGTAATATGCGATTTTGTGTATTTGACATTTTTTTCACTTCAATACATTTGTATACTTATACCAGTACATTACATTCGTTGTGGAGGTTGATCATTAGCTCGCTTTGACTTTCATTTTCTGGTCCCAACTGCTTTTCAGCTTATACGGTATAATTCAATCTTGTACTTAGATAAATACATTTGCATATCCAAGTGAGATTACATAAACACAATAGTATATAAACAAGGAGATATGGTATAATTGCCAATGAGACAACTATCCAACAGAGTGCATTTACGTGGATTTGAGCATATAAAGTTTCATTGATATACACTGTTACCTTAATATACACTGTTTCTTTTCTAGTCTATGCCACCAGCAGAATATGTACCAAACGACCCTAATGATGTTAACGCCACTACTAAGCTATTCGATGACTATAATCAAACGTTTGCCAAAGTAAACAAAGGTGGCAACACTATGGCATTATTGCGATTGATGGATTCAACAGCAAGTATATATGCAGATATTGATTTAGTAAGTAGATTGAATAAAACAATATAGTCCGAAAGGAACATACTTTTATAAACAGAATAATATGAAAAATTAAATTCGAATTACTTTTCAAAATACAAAAGCAGTAAAAACGGGAAATCATATGATGAAAAGCTTTCACACTGAATGTTTTTTTTTTTTTGTTTTTTTTTTTTTTTTTGCTTGTTTCAAATCTTGTGATATTTAGGTGATTAAGTATTTGTTTGGTAACGCTGCAATAGTTCTCCGTTTTAAAATCTAGTGATAAAGTAATATAAGCATACACCAGAATTTGTGATTGGTTAACTAGCTAAATGATGGTGTAGGAGGATGTAATTAATGGACCCATTGCTTTCAATTTGGAGCATTCATAACTCTTTCGTCTTAAATTCATTCCATGTCAAAGCAATACCGAGGGTATCAACAGAGAGTATCCATGAATTAGGAACCGCATATAAATGTGGATATTGTGTTATTGAAATTTGCTGTTACAATAGTTTTGAAATTATTTAAAATCAAGGAAGACATCACCTTCATGCAAAGCTCCTTTTCCATGCCAGGCGTTAGCTATACTTTTTGTCCTTGTTTATCAGCTCTTCAATTTTCGAATAAATTTTAGATGTTAAAATAGTTTGGCCTTGAGCATCAATGAAAAGACATTTATTGTCAAAATGCGCATCTAGTGCAGTTAAATTGGTACCGTTTATGTTATTCTTAGCTTTTCTGGTGCTGAAAAAATCGACGCATCTTTCATTACATATAAAAGCGTATTGGTTCCTGGAACTTTGGATCTACCAAAACAAGTACATCAGATCTGAGAAACAGACAAAATATGACCTCCTATTTAAAATTTCTCACATTTGTTTTATTATTCCCCAACAATAAATCAAAAGTGACGTGTTATAATGATTTTGAAATTTTGAAAGTTACACCAATGCATAGGAACTATTTTGTTTTAAATAGGTACTGCTCTCTGGTATGTTCTTTCTGATCTGACCCAATTATTGATGTTACATCTATACAGTTGTTTCTATTTTGTTTTCAAAATATAAAAATGTTCGGTATCCTTTAGTAGTCGCTGGCAACAAGTAGCCAAATATGAAAAAACCGATGCATAAAAACATTGTATTGCAATTATCGACATTATGACGAATAAGATAAATCCTAATAGTCATATGAAGACATACATTTATCATATATGACCATTTGAAGACATACATGTATCCGATATGACTATATGAAGACCTGCATGTATCCGATATGACCATATGAAGACATACATGTATCCGATATGACCATATGAAGACCTGCATGTATCCGATATGACCATATGAAGACCTGCATGTATCCGATATGACCATATGAAGACATACATGTATCCGATATGACCATATGAAGACATACATGTATCCGATATGACCATATGAAGACATACATGTATCCGATATGACCATATGAAGACATACATGTATCCGATATGACCATATGAAGACATACATGTATCCGATATGACCATATGAAAGCATAACATAGTCGATTGATAAAGTTAAATGAATTAACACATTATTCACAATCTATCAATTAGAATTAACATCGGAAATGGTTCATAAAATATTATAACATCATTTTTCTGATATATCATTTGAGACCTTTATGTTAATAAAAGACTTCCAAATGGAATAGGGACTAAAAAGATATTGGTGATAGATGTGAATATCGATTTCTCAGAGCATTTATGGATTATATTTGTGTAATAATTTTTTGACAGCCTACATCTGGTATTCCCGACTTGTCAACGCCAATGAAATGTGTTAACTATACAGATAGTGGGAGTAGTCAGTCTAGCGTTAGAACAAATCTTCAACAGGTATTATACAAGAAAACTATTGTAAAAGAGAGGAGAACGATACCAAAATGACAAATCTCATAAGTTTTCATAAATTTCATTCCGTTTTGTAAACGATGTCGTGAATAAACAGACAACACTGCTAAAATGACACGTAACTATCCACAAAAATTGTACGCAGAAAACCAAATACCGAGAAATACGATCTGCACAACAAAGATGAAACAAACACTAGTCATCTGTCGTGCTACCCTTGCAAAATCCGTAAGTGAGTTATAACCTGTGAAAAGTATCATACTGTGTCGGATTGGCATTTATCTATTTCTAAAATTAAGACACATAGAATCCGTCCCCACATCTAAGTTTGCTAGCTGTAGTTATTGTAGAAGAAAGCACATGTTTTCGGCAGAAAGGATCAACAAGACTGTTAAATACATGCATATAAAAACAACACAGACATCAAAAATAAAGTATTACAAAACAAATTACAGAAAACTATTGCAAAATGACTTAATTTTAAAACTCGATTGATAATGCGTGTAACAACAAATTGAACAGATTATGTTTGTCATCTATACCCAGATAATGGTTGTCTTAGTCGAATTTGGCACAAATTTTCGGAATTTTCAGTTATTAATGCTCTGCATCTTCGTAATATCTGATTTGGCTTTGCAACTGTTTTGATTCGAGCGCCACTGATGAGTCATATGAAGACGAAACGTGCGTCTGGCGTACCGAATTAAAAGCCCGGTATCTTAAGTGAGTTTTTAGAGTGAAGTATTACAATTGTGGTAGTTTCCTATGAAAGTCCTGACAGACAATTCAAAATTCAAACTTGAAATTCTGAAAATAAAAATTTAGATAACTTAAATAACCAATAAGACTTGTTTTTTTTTTATATCGAAACATTAAATCTTTTAACATAATTATTCAAATGTTTTAACTTTTGAACAGTGGTTTTGAAAAAAAAACCATGTTTTTCAATATCATTAAAGAAAATGAAAAAATTACTGATTTTTACCAATATTTCCAATCGTTTTGACACTTAAGGATTTCTTTGGAAACGATAATGCTTTTTTATAGATTGATTTATTGATTTTTGCAAGGTACGTCCAGTGGCTAATATTTTATCCTATTCAGGACGAAAACAAATTCACAAATAAAACAATAAGTATGTTCTACAAGGAAAGTAGATTGGGATAAAGGTCGGGATTTTTGGACTGCCACTAGAAAGAAAGGGTATGTTGGATACAGTCCTCCAACGGACCCCTCAGAGAGTTGTTGCAAGGGTTCTTTAATGTTCAAACATCATGTCATTCACCATATACGAAGCATCAGATTAGGACATGGCTGTGGGTGTACGTGTTTATACTCCTGCACAGCCAGTCGGACCACCCACTTAGGCAACGATTTAACTGCGAGAAAAGTTCAGGGAAATTTTATACCCAAATCAACTCTTGGGATATCGTGTTTGAATGTGTAATATTGATAATGGTATTTGTTTTTCGAAGAGAACAGACGACATGATACGTGAAATGGATAAAAGAACTCCAGATGCAGAGTCTAATGTTGGAATGACTTCAGCAGACGCTGGATTTATGGCCAAAACACTCAAAACTGCCATAAAAAATAAAGCTTTGATGAATAATAAACTATCCGTAAGTTGCTGGAATACATTAATTTATTTGCCATCTTTGTTCAAGCTCGCTTGTGTTCATATAGACTTTATATTGTCTTTGTTGTTTTTTTTTATGTCATAGTTTAACGATATCAAATAAAACAATTATATGAAAAAATGGTATTGATTTTGCTTATTGTTGATGGCCGTACGGTGACCTATCATAGTCGTTAACTTCTACGTCATTTGGTCTCTGATGGAGAGTTGTCTCATTGTCAATCTTACCACACCTTCTTATTTTTTAAAGGATGTTCAGTACCTTCCCTCTATTATTTAAGGAATGACTGTAATATTTTTTCTGTCTATGAAGAAATAACATCAAATTTTATGTTATTTCGAATAGACAGAAAAAATATTACTGTCATTTCTTATAATTTAATTCTAAATTCCATTTTAAACCGAAGTAAACCATGAAAAAACGTTGATGACGTCATGGTCACATGACAAAATTATGTCTATGAGCTGATAAACAAAACAACGTCAGCCAATGAGAAGACGCGTTACATCCAAAATTAAATTATTCCAAAATATACATGTATAAACAATAGTGTAAAACAAGTTTAATCCAGTAATCTCTCTTCAAACACACTATCGAATATAGACAATATAACTGCTTTTGCAAAAAATTAAAGATAACGTGACAAGACAAAACATGGACATTCGTTGATCAAATAATTGCCTACAATGATGGAACCTTTTTAATGCCAGAATCATGTTAGTTTAATATACATAAATGTTGTTGAGTTTGTAGTTTGTAATTCTTAATTTGTTAGAAAAAATATGAATGTGAACGATATAGTTTCAGAAAACATAAACAAGAAATTAATCATCTTTAAGAATGGGAATATCTTTTTTTTTACTTTTCACTGATGATTCCATATTGTTTCGAGTTTGTTGCAAGGCGAACGCTTCAAAAATATTACATCATAGCGTTGTAAATATACCAACATGGTGCAATGAAGGAGAGACCATTGACAACGACCCAAGTAAATTACTTAGACCTGACTTTGTTTTGTCTATATATGATAAAGTCAAAAGCTATATATCTATTCTTTGTTTCTAATTGTAGAAAAAGATATTAAAAAATATAAAGAAGACAATAAAAAACATCATTAAAAGAATTGAAATCAAGCCTCTTCTAATGACAGAAATCTCTAGTTCAAAGGGCGCAGCTAAAGGTATTTACAATATAACTATAAAAACATATTTCAACAAATAATCCAACTCTATGCAGGTCCTGTTATTATACGTTTTTTAGTCATCTGGATAATATTTATTATTGACATCATCACAGTCTTAATTTTTGTTGTAAGCGCATATTGGTTACAGCCATTTAATTTCGTTGTTGTCGCGTTGACATGTTTGATGGGGTCCGTCATAAACCACTATTAATTACTGGAAAGTGGGGCACAGTTAATTCTCATTAGAATACCAAACATTTCACGAAATACATAGAAAAATATTTATTATCAAGCTTAAAATTAATAACTTTGATCCTATCGTGGATTAATTTACTTACCCGATAATCACTTTCAGTCGCATTTTTGTAATTGTACACGTGCCTATAAAAAAATTGAAAAATTACATTACATTTAAGATAATTATTAACATGATAGCTTCTTAAAAAATCAACAGAATAACGGTAGTGTTGTCAGTTTAGTCATTTGTCCTTTCATTTGATCTACTGTGGTTACTTTTGAATCGAATCAAAATCGCAATCAGAACTGTGATTGCAGAGGTATCAATGAAACAGCAACTCAACGCGTTTACGCACAAAAACAAATGTTTTGCATGTCAAAATATGAAACGATGGAGAGCACAGAAACCAAACGGGCGAAGATCAACTTTGCCTGATGAAGGTGAAATCTTAACGTTAGTACATTTGCATAATTTTATGAACTGTTGATTTATAAACAAAATAAATCATTTGAATCATGACAATACCGAAGCATTCGCTACTGTATGGGTGGTACCCTAGAAAAATCTAGATGTCTTCGCTACTATATGGGTGATACCCTAGAAAAATCTAGATGTCTTCTCTACTGTATGGGTGGTACCCCAGAAAAATCTAGAGCCATCTAGAGGACACCCTTAGTCTTCATTAATAGACAAATATCTATAAAATATGTTAAGCTCTGAAGTCTGCATAAATGTTGAGAAGAAATTCGACCATTTGTTTTTCATTGTTTTGATGTCTGTTATTAAGATTGTTCTTAAAATTTCCATGGAAATTGTAGATTTCATAATGGTAATCATAATCAACATACGAGTTTATGTATGTTACTTTAAAAAAAAGTTGGAATGAACGAATATTGATTCAATGCTAACGTTTATTTCTTTTGTAGAAGTAGTTAATGTTTTGACAGATATTTTGGCATATTGGAAAACAGGTGGATCGGAAAACTTAGAGAAAACACTAACTGTGGAAGATGTTGAAGAGGAATTCAGAGAATACTACAGAAAAAACCCAGACCAATATGACGAGGAAATAGCAGACGATACACAATTCAACACATATGTTCAAAAATGTTATATCAATAAACAGAATATTTTTGAAAAACAAAAAGCAATGTCGGAATCCGTAAGATATTTGTCTTCATCAATTTTACATTGCACTTTTTTCTTTTCTTTTTTAGCTCACCTGGCCCAATGGACCAAGTGAGCTTTTTCTCATCACTTGGCGTCCGTCGTCCGTTAACTTTAATTAAAATCGTCTTCTCTGAAACTACTGGGCCAAATTTAACCAAACGGTTTTTTGTTATTATCTTGAATCTTATTATAGATAGAGATAAATATTCAATTTTTAACAATTTTTCGTATCTTTTACAAAAATCTTCTCTTCTGAAACTACTGGGCCAAATTTAACCAAACTTAGCCACATTCATCATTAAAGTATCTTGTTTAAAAAATGTGTCCAATGACCCCACCTGCCAACCAACATGGCCGACATGGCTAAAAATAGAACATAGGGGTAAAATGCAGTTTTTGGCTTATATCTCTGAAACTAAAGCATTTAGAGCAAATCTGACATAGATAAAAATGTTTATCAGGTTTAGATCTATCTGCGCTGAAATTTTCAGACGAATCAGACAACCCGTTGTTGGGTTGCTGCCCCTGAATTGGTAATTTTAAGGAAATTTTGCAGTTTTTGGTTATTATCTTGAATATGATTATAGATAGAGATAAACTGTAAACAGCAATAATGTTCAGTAAAGTACGATCTACAAATAAGTCAATATGACCAAAATTGTCAATTGACCCCTTAAGGAGTAATTGCCCTTTATGGTCAATTTTTAACAATTTTTTCGTAAATTTTTGTAATCTTTTACAAAAATCTTCTCCACTTAGTCTACTGGGCCAAATAGAATTAAACTTAGCCACAATTTTCAATAGGGTATTTTGATTGAAAAATGTATCCGATGACCCTGCCATCCAACCAACATGGCCGCCATGGCTAAAAATAGAACATAGGGATTTACCATAGAAGTCTAAGGGAAAATTTAAAAAAAAACAATTTCAAATGGTCACAACTTGAAAACTAATTCAAATAATGATAAGGGGTCTTCAGTTACTATTGTAAGACTAGTTACTAGTGGGATGACCTGCTTTTAATTTAACTACTGGGCCAAATTAAACCAAACTTGGCCTCAATCATTATTAGTGTATCTAATACTATTTATTATGATTTTAACCTTATTTTACATGATTTCCAAAACCACAGTAGATACAGGTGAGCGACACAGGCTCAGTAGAGCCTCTAGTTTATTAAAGCTTCTCCAAATGCAAGATAAGCTTATCTACACTGGAATTTATTATCTGCATATAAGTTTTATTACGGTAAATATTTGAGCAATATGCTATTCAATTGTCTCTTTTTAGACAAATGGAGGGGCAGAAGATCTGTTTGAATCTGCGGATGACGCATTGGATACTACTGCAGCTACAACATCTCCAGGAGAAGGAGAGCAATTGATTAATAAAACAGATATCACTTTGAGTGTGGAGAAAGATAGTAAAGATGCTTTCCTTAATAAATCTGCTGTGTATAGGAAAGGAATGTCTTTAAAGTTTGACAACGATTCTTTGGCAAATGTCACTGATGGTACTAATATGGATCTTCAGGTAGCCAGTCGCTTTTTGGTATTCAGGTTTTGCCCATTTTCGACTTTCTCCAACATAATCATCAGAAGACCTGTTTTCTTCACCATCTATTCATACAATGATATACATTATCATCCTAAGGGATTTCAAAATTAAACAAATTTCTGAGTGATAGAAAAAGTTGAAAGGGTTTATTTTTTTCAATCAATTGTTTCCTGACTCATTGTTCTTTCGCTTTGTAAACAACACCGTGATAAAATTCTCGATATATCTATACTTAGCGCTGACTCAAAGATGTACATAATAATGGCTGTTATAATATACCTCCCACGTAAATCCACATGCATCGTAACCTATGTGCAAACGCTATGCCGATTTCGCTGTGTTAAAAATTGCAATTATAAAAAAAAACTACAGAACCTTTATTCTTATTCTGATGCATAACAAAAAGAATTAATGTATTAGAGCTCGGAAAAATGTACAAAATCAAAATAAAATCAAATTCCGCGAAATTCCATAAATGCTTTTGGCGCATTAAAGTAATTTCAAAACATGACGTTATACGAGTGAAAACGCCAAAGCTGAAAGTTTTTCCGTTGCGTGAACCCTCCAAATTCGGATAATATTGCATTAAAATGGAGTTTTGAGGTAGGTGTTGTTTTCTTTTCTATTCACATTTACTGATTTTAGCAAGTCAACATGGCGGCTAAACTGGAATCCGCTTGTATTACGCTACACTCACTATGAACAAAGTGTAGAAGTCAGCCGAGAACGAGCTTACATGGCGGTTCCTTAGTTACGAAATGTCACCGTCAACTGTGGATTAGACGGTAGCTAACGAGAAAAAAAAAATGTAAATTAAAAATGTTGGGGTTGAGAATTAAAAGAATTAAACACATTTTTTTCTAGCGGTTATTTAAGAAATAGTTCATACACGCTATAGATTTATTGGACATTTTTAGCTTTATCAAACAGGGGTTATGATAGAACAGCCACACACACGGCATACCCACCCTCGCTTCAGTTTTTTAAATGACCGTATGGTGTCGTATTAGAATCGAAATAATTCACGAAAGCCATAGATTTGTTGTAAATTTACACATGGCCTGGGCCGTGTGTAAATTTCCAACAAATCTATTGCTTCCATGAATTATTTCGAAAACTGCAAAAGAGTTATTAGAACTTTGAAACTATAGCTCAGTTTTTGCATTCTTTGTCCATTTCAAGTTTATATTTCTGAACAATAAAGATGCATTAATCTTACATTTTTACATTCAGGTGACTGTCGTGGACAAGTCCCCGCTTCTTCATGCCGATGGCGCAAGCCAAGTCAACGGACAAATCATGAACATTGCTGTGAAAAATGACGAAGGAAAAAAAATGGACGTACAATTAAACATGACAATACAAAATCAGGGTGTCACTCATTTCACTGAGTATGCACCATATTATGACCCGGAAGATCCAGATAAAATGATGTATTTCCGGTCCAAACTCCCAAATGACAATGATGCCTTCATATTATATATTAAACTGAGTGATGAGATGCTGGATGCAATAACCCAACGTGAATTATACACTTTATATGCTAAATCAAATTCTCAGCCCTCCTCCACTGATCACGAATTCACTAAAACTATCAGGGCAACCGATATGGAAACATTTGGTTTTAAAGTGTTTATAAAGGAGAGGGTGTTGAAGGAGGGGGACATTTTTATTGCATTGAAAGCTATGGAAGGTAATATATCTTATTAAGATTAATCGAAATGTGAAAATATTTATTTTGTTATAAATACTTAAAAAAAAATATCATGAACACAATTTAAATATTTTTTTATATAATGATTTCATCTTCTCATTGAGCAATATATACAGTTAGGAATATAACTGTTAAACACATCATAGATTTAACTATCATACCTTAAGTATGTAGTTACGTGAAATTAAAAAAAATATAGAATTTAAAATTGATACTTTAAGTCAGAAGAGCATCAGTGAAGGAACAAAATAAGCTAAAAGTATTGATAGGTTATGGAACTCCTTTTTGCTATATTTAATTTTTTTTTTAAATGGCGGGAAAAGGCTGACTTGGACTTTTACCTTATATTTAGCATTGGCATTATTTGGGTCTCAAATCGTAAGAAAAAAAATCTAGAATCTGCTTAAATTTGATAATGACTTTTTTATGAGCTATTGAAGTCTTCTATGAAAAGAAAAGTGGGTGATATGGGGCAAACTATTTAACCTTGTTTCGTAGGAAAAAAACAAAGAAGTCCGAACATCTGACAAAAATTCATAAACCTGACCCAAGTACATCTTTAATATCGTATCATAAATTGGACATACGAAAAACCCACATTACTTGAAGAAAATTAACGTTTTAGATGAGTATACATGAGATAACTAAAGTAACAGCCGTTTAATGCTAACCTTTACTTATAGTCACTTAAAGTTAAGTCATGTCACAATGATACACATTGTAAATGTTCATAGATGACCAAAATGTAGAATCGCCAAAAGTAAGACGTAAGAGAAGTGCGCTTTCATCTGGTAATACAAATGCAACTGACCTTGCAACATCTAATGTAAGTTTGGCTGTAGTGACAACTGGTTGCAGAGTTTACGATCCAAGCTCAAGCTCATGGCAGTCAAATGGTTGCTCTGTAAGTACTTTTTTTTAAATTTAATAAGAATCGCAAATTTGTGTAAGCTTGTTACTTCGTTTAAGAATTACTATTTTAACCATCAAAAGTACAATCAAAGATTTTTTTGAATATGAATATGAAAAAAGGAGATTTTTGTAAAATATCAACGAGGCAGCAAGCCAATGACACAATAAAACTTAGTTTTTGCTCGATTAGAATTTTATAAAAATTGCAAAGCATATATCTTTCAAATAAACAATAGCTGCATAACAACAGTTTATTAACAATACACTTAAACATTTTAATCTGATTACATTACATACAATAATTTTTTAAGTCAATGTCAGCCAAAAATAAACTACTTTCATGAGGCTTAGAAACAGAGGAAGAATAAGGTTTTCGGAGACATTCGATAGTATCATCTGCATATGAATAACAGTTTATTTTTTTCTAACATTGATCTAAAAGTGTTTAGATACTGCAGCGAAAAAACTATAATTTTAGCCATTGAAATGCTTACACTAAAATAAAACGTATTTTCATTATACGCTGATTGCAAGGAATTGATGTAACATGGAATTGACATTGTACAAAATATCACTTTGTTATTTTTTAAAAAAAATAACATGACTATACGCATCGCTGTATACTTGACATGTGACACATGGATCGGCTTTCCCTTCAGGAATACCTGAGATCACCCCCGTTTTTTTGTTGGGGTTTGTTTTGCTCAGTCTTTAGTTTTCTTTGTTGTGTTTGTGTACTGTTTGTCTTTTTGTCGTTTTTCGTTTATTTTTGCCACGAACGGCATTGTTAGTTTGTTTATGAGTTACGAGTTTGAATATCCCTGTGGTATCTTTCGTCTCTCTTGATCAATCGACCAAATTGACGTATTCACGGATCATGGTACATAAAGTATCATTGTCATCAAGGAGTACCTCACAAAATTTCATTTCCAAAGAATAACTCCTAATTTTTCTTCTTTTTTTTAACAATTGCTTCGATTTAAGTCTTTGGATTATTTTCCTTTAGGGAACGACCATTTAACATCAAGGGGGGGGGGGGGGGGGGGGGGGGTTATGGTTTTTTCCTAAAAAAAAATATGCTTATCCCCAATTTGATGAAAATAAAATATTGTGGTCAAGCAGATAACCAAAAAATATTCTGAATCCAGATTTTCCCCATACCTTATAGTGTTAAATTTTGAATAAAAAAAGAATTTGATTGATGGTGTCGAAAAACTAAATAAAAATTTTTCTGACTCAGACAAAAAACCATACCCCCCCCCCCCCCCCTCCGTTGAAGTTAAATGGTTGCTCCTTTAGTAGTATAAGTTTACTTGTTCAACTAAAACGTCATTGGGGATTTCAAAACGTAAATAAATAAAAAAGAATCTGTTGAAAACACGAAATAAATAGTTATTGAACATAAAACATAGGGAATTTTACTTGGTCATTGAATCGGTTGATGTTATTTCGTTGACATTCAGTAAACAGAAATAATGAATAGCCTATTACATTCCAAAAGTGAATACATAAAAAGAAAAATACAATAAAACCTAATAAAATAAAAACTCAATTTTGCTATCTGAGAACAGCGGTGCTAATCGTATCCGTCTTGTTTCATACACAATGATAATGGTCGGTTGTACGTTGTATCATTAAAAATTTATTATGATTGCAGGTTCTTCCATTTTCAACACTAAACGAAACAGTATGTCGCTGTGAGTCGTCGTCTGGTTCTATCTTTTCTCTGGCATTTGCTGCCCCAAACTTGATAGATTTCAGTACAGTCTGGTCCAAGTTTGATCCTGCAAATGCTGCCGTATATGCCACACTGATTGCTTTATTAGTATTATACTTTATATTTGTGGTCGTTTTGAGAAGATATGATGGAACAGATACTGTTAAGGTATGTTATATTCTTCAAAACTTTAAAACATTGTTTACCGCCGCATTATTCGATCCTTCCTGCCCGTTTTTTCGAAATAATGTTATGAAGTTAAAAATCCATATATTTCCACAGGTGATAATTGAGACCTCAGCAGAAGCGATAAGTTTCTTACCTATCAGAATAACTTATTTATGGTTTGTATTGAAGATATATCATATTTATATGTCTGTTATTTTAGTTGATTTTTTTTGGTAAATAGGAGATAAAAAATTTAGAAACATGTGACGTTCGTGTTCATAGTAATATTTCGTTGTTGAGTTCAAATAAAAAAAAATGCCTGTTGTCTAAGGCACATACATTAAATATGTTATAAAAATAACAAATCAGCAATCAAGCAAATCAAATTGAGTGGTTATTATTCTTACTTCCGTATTGATTTTTTTCAGAGTATCCCCACATTTTTATGTGACAATCAACAAGCTGACAAATACTTTTACATGATTGCTGTTCATACTGGACTCAGACCAGGATCGGGAACAAAATCTAATGTCTGTTTTATTATATCTGGAGATAATGATGATAGTGGTATACGATTGTTAAGCGATGGGGAACGACAAGTAAGATATTTATATTGCCAAATGCAATGAGGTTTTTAGCAACTTATGATAATGGCACAGAAATGTTATCTGAAACAAAAGGAAATCATAACTTAAATATATCATGAACATAAATAGCCTTCCTGTTTTGTGATTTTGTTATTTGTTAAGAAATTCATCACAGCAGATGCGTTAAAAGAAAGAGCAATGCTTGTTAACTTTTAACTGCATTTTTTTACATCTGCCCTCCTAATGTTAACAAAGCCAGAAAATGCCCTCCTTTTACTGATACAATGTAATCTGATTCCATTTTATACTTATTGACATGTTCTAATAGAGAAAATTTTGCTTTGATATGTAAACTTAAGCAAACTCAGTTTGTTAGAAAGTTTTTCAATGCCGAGACTCTCAAGGAATAAGGACAGTAAAAAAGTCTACACTAAATTGTCTATACGTATGAGCACAAACACAGAAAATGCAAAATATTCTTTATTTTCATCTATAGCCACTATTTTCTTACCTATAGTTTTATGCCTACTATATGTTGACGGACTTAATGATATAATGTGTATGCTCTGTCATGAAAACTCTAACTCCTGCAAGTTCCATCACTGTGGCTTTATATTGGATTTAACGCTGCACTAAAATGAGAGAAAACCCACAGTTTTATTTAAATATTTTGCAAAAGGTACTACTGACTTCATGCAGAAGAGTAATTTTCCAGAGTCAAGATCAATATTGTTTTCTGTTGATTTTTTGTCATGTTGCTACATTATCTTGCAAATGGAATGACTATTTCAAATACATCAGATATCGCATGTGTCGTAAACGAAATTTTGCTAACGATTACAAAATTATTAAACTTCATATTAATTACAATTCAGTTTGTAAACCATCTTTGTGCCAAACATTGATTAATTGACGAATGATACACAAGGGAGTTACAGTCTGTTGCAAAGGTACATGTATTGGCACAGTGATAGTCGAGCCAAACCATATCTTCGAATTCTACGCCCAAAGCGCCATTCTTCAACATTAAGAGCCAAAAGTATAAAATGTGATGTTTGAAGCACTGAATTCAGATGTCATGATAACCTCGTTATCAAATCAAGCCGTAAAGATTCACTGAATATTTCAGGGTTTTGAAACCAACAGTGTAGCTTTCTTTATGATGTCAACACATGCAAGGTTTGGTGATTTGTCCTATTTTAGAGTATGGCATGACAACAGTGGTGATGGCAATACTAATTCATGGTACCTTCATAAAATAGTCGTTACAGATATTCAGACCGATGAAAGGTAAGCAACATCTATTCTTCACAATAATGCTTGTGGTTGATAACAAAAGCAAATAATAAGTAAACTCAATTTTAAGGTATGTAGAAAAATCAGTTTTGATAAATACAGCAAATTCTTTAGGAGTTATATGTATCACTTCAAATGATTATCTTAATCCACATTCAGACCTAACTTGACAATCTGAAACTATTCCGTAATATGTGACTTTCTCAACCTCCATATCTCCTGTTATTAATATCAAACATTATCTTTGAGAGCAGGACAAATTAAATCCAAGATCAGTAAAACTATACTCTAGAAAGTCTTGAAAGAGTCTATAAATATTGTCATAATAATCAAAGAGATGATGGCTTTGGTGGTATTCTAAGTCGATCATAGATTATTCGTTATGATTAATTTTGCACGGGTTTTATGATTTTCATATCTTTTGGGATGCAAATAATTTTGAAAAACTGTAATATAATATACATTTGCAGATATGTTTTTCACTGTGACAAATGGCTGGCAATGGACATGGATGATGGCTTAATCGATAGAATAATTCCAGTCATAAACAACAAAGAATGTGGTTTTGAAACCGCCTTTTCTCAACAGTCACGTGCAAATGTAACAGAAAATCATCTATGGTTATCGTTAGCAATACGACCACAGAAAAACTCGTTTACTCGTGTGCAGAGGTTATCTGTAATACTGATGCTCCTGTTTCTTACGATGATAACAAATGCAATGTTTTTCAAGTCCAGCGATGACGATACAGTCACCCCGGATACTGTTCAGATTGGTAGCATGAGATTGTCTTTGAAAATTGTATATGTGTCGTTCATTGGATGCGTGATCACAGTACCGCCAATTGTCTTGGTGACTTATTTGTTCCGCAATACCAGCGCTAAGGTAGTACAGAAGAAGCAAAAACAAAAGAATACTGATTCCACGGAAGATGACGATAATGATGATGCTATTATGACCTTGACTACTAAAAAGAAGTTTCCTCATTGGGTTGTATATATCGCATGGTTTGTTGTAGCTCTTGCTGTTATAGCGTCAGCGTTCTTTCTATTATTATACAGCATGCAGTGGGGAAAGGCCAAAGCAGAAGAATGGCTGACTACATTCATTTTGTCATTTATAGAATCTATTTTACTGGTTGATCCATTTAAGGTAATAAAAATGATGCAGAAACTCCAAAACGGTATCCAAAGAGAAATGGAATAGACACCAATGAGACAGCAACCCAACTACACGATATACAACTAGGGTTTAACATGAGTCGTTACCAATAGACTCTCTTATTAAGAAACTATCTTAAAGAGACTTTCAAACACTCCCGTTTGTTAATTATTTTTATTATCTAAATCATTACAGAAACGAAAATCATTTAGAAAAACTTACAATTTGAATTGCTACAGAAACAAAGCGCTTAACACTGAGGTATAAGACAAAACAACACAAGTATGTTTGCATTTGAAGTTTCAGGAACGATTTGTTCTTTACTTCTTACTAAAAAAAAACCCTTCTTAGTTACAGTTGTACAAAGGAATTAGGTATGAGTGAAACTTCAGGAGTATAAATTTTGGCTTCCATAGGTCGCTGTCAAGGCTATCAGATGTTGACATTGTAACGGTTTCAAAAATGAAGTTCAAAACATTTGCCAAGTATTTTGAAAAATTAACAGATAGATTTCAGATTTCAAATTGGGACTTCTATCAAATAAACTTCGTTTTAAAATTGATTTTATTTTCATTCTTGTTCTGGATTTTCTTTTCTTGTTTGGAGTAAACGTATTTCCGGGTATTTAAGATTTCTATGATTTTTTTATGTATTTATAACTCATTTGTGAAAAATTTCTATTGGTGCATATAACGAATGTAGTTTAAAAGCAGTGGAAATGCTTTTTTAAATGTAAATGATTAATGTCGTTACTATGAACTTCTTTGTTAATATTGATTGAAAATAGCTCTTAATTGAGGTGCACCCAAAGCGCCTTTCTGGCCTAATCTTTATTAGGAACTCTCAAATTCAAGAATTTGAAACCGAATGATGTATAAATGCCCGAAAACGTGCAGGCTATGTACATAGCCTTATTAAATCGGAGGGAATCATATAATGGGTCATACGATCAAAGGACAAAAGCCTTAGAGATGGTGGTTTTTAACAATGATATGCACTGAATTAATTGTACGATTATTTAGAAGAGAGTCATTTTCGCCGTTTATTGACTTATATATATATAGTTTTATCTTTCCTTTATATTCACCAGTTACATTTGATTTATATCTTAGGTTATCATTGTTGCTATACTGATTGCGTTTATCATGAAAAAACCAGTAGAAGATGAAAAACTAACAGTTAATCTGGAATCTGTGAAAAGACGGGCCAAAAACTACCAACCGTCAAAAAACAAGCAATTTATAGGTAAATACATTTAATCATAAAATTATATTAACATTGTGCAGTATTGAACTGAAAATCGAGGCCTTAGTACTAATAGTCGGCCATATTATAAATGCTCTGACAAACGCTTTCTATATGTTATGGTTATTACAATTACCTAATTTCTTTGTATTCATTTCATTCTACAAATTTAAACTTTGATTTTGGTGGTGGCTACATCCTATTTAGTCGCTTAAATGCGTGATAGTATTTTTTACATTCAGTATCATGAAAATTTATCAATGTCACACCAAATAATACCATTAAAGCATAAATAAAGTTTCCAAAATAAATTCAGTTAAAAATACCAAGTAAATCCCTTTTTCAATAAAATTCAACAATGAAACAATGCTTCGAAGACAATATTTCGGAAGTGTCTCAGAAACAATCAGAATACCAGTTGTGCAAAATAAAATATCAATGACATTTTTAAAAACCAACAAATAACAAACAACAGCAAGATATCAATCTGAATACCTTTGCTTATAAAACTATGATCAATAATCTATTTGCCAATAACCGATTTTATTCTGTTATTATGCACTTTCAACTGCCAATTTTAGACTGGTTCTACAAAATGGATTACGGAATTGGTAAATTATTGTCTTTTGCTTTACAACACGGATAAATGTCCGGGTGACATGGCCATACACATTTTAACAACTCTTACTCTTTTTAGCATTTAGGCTAGAGGTATTGGCAAGAGGGGGACCACCTCCTGCAGCCGTAATGGAAAAAGAAAGAAAATTAATGATGAAACAAAAAGAGGCAAAGCGAGCCTTTATGACTTTAGTCCTACATATATTTTTCGCCACTGTATTGTTCTGTATGAGCTACATAAATAGAGACCAGAGAGGATATTTGTATAAAGCTCATATTGACAGTCAGTTGTTCGAGTCTAGTAAATATCAATATGGATTCTCAAAGGTAAATATATATAGGTATAGATATACAGATATGGAAACTTAATTTCTTTCATATAACATTGTTTACTCAATAATTTAAAGTCAAAAATAGTCTTGTAATTTTGTCACAATTCAGTCCGATGGTTTTCTCGTTTGAACAATTCCACATTTTGTCATGTCGGATCCTTTAATAGCTGACAATACGGTTAGTGTTTTGCTCATTGTTGCAGGCTGTTAAAACAAAAACAAAAGACCTAAAAGTAACACAAAAACCCGACAAGGAATCAGAGTTTTACATGAGGTAGATTCAAAATGATTTCTAAAACAATATCCGTATTTTCACGCTATTAACGAAGTATAAGCAACTGGGCTGGTGATTTCCTTGAGGGCTAATAGTGCACCAGCAGAGGCATCGACCCAGTGGTAGTACCGACTGGTGTAAGTGTTGCTTGCTGTTTATATATGCAAATGTATTGTGCTATTCCTTATCCGTTTTGTAAATATCGGTTGTGCATTTTTCATTGGTGTTTAGATATGTGTATTTATTGTAGTTGCTTCTGGATTCTTCAGGTCTCTTTTACACTACTTTTATAACTCAAGATAAATCCCTGTTTAAATAATAGGATAACTGGAAAATAAAGAATTCGATAGATGTGATTTGTAGTATGCACCATTGATACTGTTATCCTGTTTCTATTGATACTGTTTGCACTTGACGTAAAGACAAGTATTCCTTTACACCATGCCAGTACCAAAGGAATAACTACTGAACAAATTGAATCATCGCGTTAGTCTCCAATTGTCTACCTGCAAAGAACACTAAAATTGTTGTACAGTATTTATTGCAGTGGAAAAGAAACGTTTCTATAAACATTGGCATCCATTTGTTATGAAAAAATATAGGAGTACCATTTATTATTTCATTTTAGGTTTCATCAAGTGAGGCGTTCTTTAACTGGACAAAGGACACTTTAATTCCCTTGTATTATCCAACATCAGAGTATAATGGTGATGGTATCAGTGTTGTGGATAAGTTCTTTGTAGGCGATATGGCTAATCTCAGACTTGGTCTTGTCAGACTCAGACAGGTTAAAGTAAAGAAAGGTACTTCGCAGTAATTTAAAAAAATTATTTGCATTATGTGTATATTGAACTTAGATTTTAAACGATTTTATATGGTCTGCTATTATTCAAATTATAGAATTTCTAATTCTCTGTGTTAAATGATAGCTGTCAATTCTTTATTTATGCTTTTCTTATGACTCAGGATGAACTATTAATGTGTATGGATTTATTGAACTTTTTTGAGGATTTCGTATAAAATCTGACAGAAATTAGTTAAAAAAGGGAAATAATACAAATTAAAAGTTTTCACGTATTCGTATTAATATGTAAGATTAATTACTAAACCAAAAAATCATGATTTTATACCTACTGAAAGGCACAGTAACATAAATGGGGATCAAATGAACTTTTTTAATAGAAAAAAAATACTTTAAAACATTCTGAATTATATTTCAGCACAATGTTACACAAGGAAACTGGTTGCGGGACATTTCTGTGCAAAAAATTATAATGACGAAAGAGAGGAGACTGGTGATTTGTGCAACGGATGTCAAACTCCTCTAACAACAGATGCATGGAAATATGTATCATCAGAGAAAATATGGGGAATACCAATAATAGGCATTTATAATACATATGGCGGTGGCGGATATATCCAAAGTTTTAGCAACATTAAGGCAAATACTGAAAACATACTTGACGAACTCTATAATAAGCAGTGGATTGATCGTTTGACAAGGGCAGTCTTTGTTGAGTTTGCACTGTATAATGCAAACATTAACAATATATGCTATTCGATATTTTTGGCAGAATTTCCTGAAACAGGAGGTGCCTTTAATTGGGTTGATACACAGTGTTTTAGGCCAACATTAATCACAAGTGCTACAGGTGCATTTAATCTATTACTTAGTATTTTCTTCCTCATCATGGTAATTGGTAGGATGGTCACAATGATAAAAGGCCTGAAAAGAGAAAAAATGAAATATCTCATGAATTTTTGGAATATCTTAGATATTTTAATTGTGCTTTTAAGTATGATCGGAGTAGGTCTCTGGGTGACAAAATTTATATTTACAAAGAAAGCATTGGGTTTGTATGCTGAAAATAAGGATGTTTTTATCAATTTCCAACACATAGTTGTGTGGGAATATGCATTCAACGTTCTTTTGGGATTCCTGGTTTTTTGTTCAACCATACGTGTTTCAAGTGCTTTGGGATATAATAAAAGGATAACTGAGATTGCGTATGTACTGAAGCATGGCGCATCAGAAATATCTGGTTTTGGCCTGCAATTTTTCATTATATTTTCTGCCTTTGTTATATTTGGTTACTTGATCTTTGGCATTGCTCTCCATGAATTTCGAAATCTATTTGTAAGTTTTGGAAGCCTTCTTAATACAATAATTGGACGAAATACACTAGGGAAAATGCAGCAGGCTGTTCCAATTTTTGCAGAGGTGTACTTCTTTGTGTATGTCTTTTTTGTGGTATTTACTTTGCTGACGATGTTTGCCGCCATTCTTAATAACTCAATAATACATGTAAGAAGTAGCAACAAGAATGCACAAGGAGAAGTTGGAATCACAGATATTCTAAAAAGCACATTCACAGATATGGTTGGTTTAGTTGGAATTCATATAAAGAGAAAAGGAAAAAATAAATCCGGTATGTTACTTTGTTTATTATGTTAGCTATTTGTTTTAATTTAAAGTAGATTTGCACCGTATAATGGCTTATTCATTTCTAAATTTATGCTAATTTAACATCTTATGTTTAGTACTATAAATCACGAGTCTGAAGAACCGGTAGAGACAATGTTTTTCTCTGACTATTAATGACGTCTTTATACTAAATCTATTGGATGTGCACTGATTGATATTTTAGTCTTAGATACATTTTTATTATTAGTTGCTATTTACTTTGAACTAGCTTTCAGGTACTGCGAGTACTCTCAGATCTGTGTTTTGTTAATTTTTTGTGAGGTGTGTGTGGTGTCCTATAGTAATTAACTTGTACATCACTTGTCTCTAATGGAGAGTTGTCTCTTTGGCAATCATGCCACATCTTCTTATTTTTATATTTGTATCGATCTGATGAGTTAAGCCCTTTTCAACTGATTTTTATAGTTTGTTCTTATGTGTACTTTTATACCACTGTCCCAGGTTAGGGGAGGGTTTGTGCAAGAAAACATGTTTAACCCAGCCACATGTCAGAAGATTGTAATTCAGTTGTTGTCGTTTGTTACTGTTTATTAGATATTATTATTATTATTATGTTTACATAAATCAGGCCAGTTGTTTATTCAGTTTCAATTGTTTTACATTTTTCATTTCGAGGCCTTTTATAGCTTACTATTCAGTATGGTTTTTGCTCATTGTTGAAGGTCTACGGTGACATACACGTACTTAATATCTACGTCATTTGGTCTCTGGTGTAGAGTTGTTTCATTCGCAAACATACCACATCTTCTTATTGTATATAGTAAAAACAATAGTCTGATCTACAACAAAACTCCACAAAAGAATGGGAAGAACATGAGGACGCATTTTGATTAAAAACTACATATACTACAAATTTCTGTTTGATTCGAAATATTATTAAAATTCAATTGATAAAACTTTAAGAAAACCTGACTTATGATTAACAGTTACCAAACGCAATGACCAAACAGCGACATTAACACCTAAAATCCCACATTGAAACTCTTTTTTTTCTTTAAAAAGTCTGCTGTAAAGACATCTGAGTCCCGGATTTCCCTTAAGGTAGAAATAAGATGTTTTGGTTACACAGTTTTTTTTTAAAGGACTTACCAACAGTGATAGGTTACATTGGAATTGGTGGATTGATAGTCTGTACAATTTGCACATGACATTATCGTTGATAATGTGTATAGTCGTGTTAGTTTAGTTCGAATTCTAGAATCATTTTTACACAGAAACAACGTTTTCTGCTATCGTACATTATTTTTCTAGTCTTAATGAAAAGATTTCTTCTCATGTCTATTGTTCTGAGTAGAATTTCTAGGCATGCTTCATTTTACAATGTGTTATGCAACGGAAAAGACGCATTTGGAGATACAAAGTTTTCAAATGAATATTAGATGAATTACATTCGACTGTTATTGATGTAAAGTAACCATAATCTTTGGCTTCATTAGGGTACAACTATAAAGGGGACAGCCATGGCCCAGTTAGTTCAGCAAAAGTTGTTAACTTTGTCAGAGAAACATTTGCCGATGCGTTTGACGAAGATACTTTGGTATGTTAAATTTTAAGTTATTAAGGTTACATAAGTAGACTGTACTATTTTGAACATTGTCAAAATTTTCAGTTTTATACTTTAATACATTACTTACTATCAGTCAATATTGTTCAAAGGTTAATGAAACGTTAAATTCGGCTTAATAAAACATTATATTATGGATATTTACCGTATGTCGTTTTGTGACGCATAGTAAAGTGTTCACTTTAGAAAGGTCAGGAACAACATAATTGAAACAAATAGCATCCTTAACGTAGGCATCTGACTTAAAATGTGTAAGGAATGGCAAGGGAAAACGTTTTAAATGGAATTATCTCCCGTTTGACCAGACAACTCACAAATGTAAACCAAGTCAAATTCAACATATATTCCCTTGCCGAGTAAAATGAACTATACATATATTAAGGTACAGTATAATGTATGTACGTTCCTCTTCCTAGTAGTAGATAACAAACACGTTCATATACTTGCACATATAATGTTTTAAATATATACGAATTACACTCACGAATGTAGTAACAAGTACACGTAGATTATGATTAATAAAATGCAAATGCTAGTGTTTGCTGTTTCAGAATTGATAAAAAAAAAAAAGATGAAAAAAAGGTTAAACCTGTTTGTTTTGAAAAGATTAAAATACTTGTAATCGTTCTCAAAAGGTCTATACTTACTGGAAAAATAATTTAAATTATATCTTATGAATAGTATTATTCAAGAGCAGTTCTGACACAGTGCAGCAGTTCCTGGATGTTTTCTTTATAGATAGGCAAAATATATGCTTAGATAATATTTATTGATTTTGAATGCAAAAACATTTTTCCCTGTCATGATGGTTTTTCAGAAAATCAACAGATAACTTTCATCTTAAAAGATATATTGACATAATTATCTTCTTTATGAATCCAAAATTTTCTGATTTGATTCTCCTAAAACATCATGAATTGAAAAAATTCAAATCCACAGATATTATTTCATTTGTATCATTTAGTTCAAGACAATTTTTAATCTCACTGCCAGAATTATTAAAACCAGACGCATTTACTTTGACTTTGTTCTTATCTTAACAATAATGTACTAAAGTAACTTCCACCTACTTGAGGAATTATTTTTTTTATCACATTCAGTCATATGATTTAATATATTAATCAAACTATTCTAATCAGAATCGATGTCTGAGCATAACCTATCCGACCCATTTTTTTGGCAAGAAACCTCTTGTCCTATTTTAACGGTAATGACTTAATTCAATCTCATTCCATCTGCAGTTTTCAATTCCCATTGTTTTTATTCCAACTTTTGGTTTTTGTTTTACGTCTGTACCTATACATCTTTATGATACCTTTTTATGTTCTTGAAAATATTCCTTAAAACAAAATAGAATATTTTTATCTGGCTCTCATACTTACGAAAATATCAGAAAATCTATCAGATATCAAACCTTCTATCCCCTAAGTCATATGGGCATACCATTATATTTTTCTTTATCTATAATTTTAATCATTAGGTTTTGGATTTTCATATATTTTGACATCTACTACCACTGATTAAACAAATATGGTCGAAATGCATATCTGCTGCAGTAAAATTTGTATTCTTGATGTTGCAACATATTTTGATTAAAAATAGTCAGTTATAAGCAATTTTTATGTTTTCTCGGGAATAAATACAAGAGGGTAACAACCCTATTTTCTCTTCAAATATAAAGCCATAATGGTGACATTCTACTGTCAATTGCCAAAAAAGTCGCTGTAAGATAAAAGTAGAATTACAGAAGTGAAAACAATAGGGCGAGTTTGATTTCAGTGTTCAATCCCTTAGGCATCATTATAAACGTAAGATGGCTATAACCAAAAAGAAAGTATAACAAATTAGCGTTAACCCGCATTTCTAGCAGGCAGACAAGCTTGAACACTTTGTAATGAGAAAACTGTAAATCATTTCAAAACTGTTTGCGACATCATTGAATGCAACTTGTCAACTGTTTTTCATGCCATAATCATTATTGGGGGTTACACTATAGTGGAGTAGAACCTGTTTACCATTTGCAGCTGCATTTGCTTAACTCATTCCGTGATTTTTGGTTTGTCGTGACGTCGCTCAATAGTAAGTTTCCTGTACAGTATTTTATGGACTGTTATTCTATGTTCATGATTAATGAACCATGAAATTGGGGTTAAATCGTAATTGTCAAATTTGTCAAATAATCTTAGAATTTCAAAATGGACATATGTTCTAAGTTTCAAGTTAATGTGACCAAATCGTCATGGTAAACTACCTTAAGCAGAAACTTTAACCTGAAGATGTACTACATTCCAAATATCACATTTCTTTGTTCAGTGAATCGTGTAATTGGTGTCAAAACCGTAATTTTGCATATAAGTGTAAAGTTTTACCTCATGTGTGCTAGGTTTCAAGTTGATGTGATCACAACTTCATGATCAACTACTAATACCTGAACCAAATACTTTAACTCGATTAGGGACGAACTAACGGACAAACAAACTAGACAACTGACAGACAGACGGACATATATGGCATAAAACATAATGCCCCTCTACTATCGTAGGCGGAGGCATTAAAATAAATTGTTAATTTTTAGATTATGGTCATTTTTTTCTGTTACTGAGTAGGAATAGAAGAATTTATCGAATTTTCAGGAAAAGGACCTCTTCAACGACGCTTTGATGCGACGAATTTCTATGAAAAACATCAGAATAGCACACATATACCTCGGAGTATCATAGACATAAAAAAAAATGGATCCGTTGTCATTTTGTCATGCTGTTGTATATAAGATTCCTTTACTGCATATTATGGTTATTTTTAACTTATAATGGGTTACAATTACAGAAATGAAAAGAGTATATAAGGCAAAATATTTTTTTTTTTTACTAAATTGAAAAGCTGAATCGCTGGAGTTAATTTTTTATGTGTCTTCATACTTATTTCGTTTATTTTAAATTTCAGGTAAATCAAAAAAAAGAAAAAGGCAAGTTAAAACATCTAAACGACTTGATAATACAAAAGTCGGCCGTGAATGAGTATGACCGTAGTAACACCTGCACACCCAGACAAGTACGAATGGATTTTTACAGATAGTATATACGAAACTAAACAAACTGGAGATTAATTTTTTAGTTTTATTACTTGTATACTTTAAATCCACAGTTTATAATGTTGTAGAGCCTTTTCGTTTTTCATTTCTTTGTATTGGTAGATGTATCATTGTTTTATACGACCGCAAAATATTTTGCGTTCGTATTATGTTATGGCGATCTCTGCGTCGGCGTCCGAAAACATTTTGGTTCCCAGACAATAACTTCAGTATAAGTGTATGGATCTTTATGAAAATTTAGCACAAGGTTCCATACCACAATATGAAGGTTGGGATTGATTTGGAGGGGGGTGTATTGTCATAGCCGTTTTGTAATAAGGGGCCAAAAAGGGTCGATAAACAAGCTTTTTTACTGATTCATAGACAATAAATTGGTTCGCAGATAATAACTTGGATATAAGTGTATGGATCTGAATGAAGTTTAGCACAAGGTTCCATTTTGGGCCCCGTATTTGAATTGGTTCAAGGGTTCAAAATTAAGCTTTGTTTGATTTCATCAATATTGAACTATTGGTGTTCTTTGGTATGCCGAATCTAACCATGTATTTAGATTTTAAAATTTGGGGCCCTCTTTCAAATTGGTCCACATTAAGGTCAAAAATCAAACTTTGTTTAATTTTAAAAAAAAAGAATTCTTGGGGTTTTTTTATATGCTGAATCTAACCGTGTATTTAGATTTTTCATTTCAAATTGGTCCACATGGTACAAAATTAAACTTATTTTGATTTTTTTCAAAAAATTAATTCAAGAGGGTTCTTTGATATACTGAATCTAAACATGTAATTAGATTTTTGATTTTAGTCCAAGTTTTCAAATTGGTCGAAATCGGGGTCCAAAATTAAACTTTGTTTGATTTCAGCAAAAATTGAATATGTGGGGTTCTTTTATATGCTGGGTGTAAGCGTGTATTTATATTTTGGATATTAGACCATAATAGGTAAAAGTTCAATTTCAAAATTTTCGGCTCTTTGACCACATTCATTCTTTGTCAGAAACCTATGCTGTGTCAAATATTTAATCACAATCAAAATTCAGAGCTGTATCAAGCTTGAATGTAGTGTCCATACTTGCCCCAACTCTCCAGGGTTCGACATGCGCCCAGTGGAGCATTTTATTTCATCTGTAAAATCAAATTCTGAACGTATCATATTGATTTCTGGTTTATACAAATGAAATTAATACTGTATAAATAAATAGATAATGATCTAATTAACAAGCATTTAGTCAGTACAGGAAAAGAACGATTTCAAATACTACATAAGTAAAATTAATATTAAAACGATAAAGTAATAGGTAATCTGATATCAAATAGGGAAATGAAGCTTCATGTTTATCATGTGTATGGAGTTTAAATATACATTCCGCCATTAGTTAAGCACCAACCATATTTTTAATAATAGGAAACCAAATCCAAAAAATTAATGATTTTTGAATAAGAGCCAATCGCGTGACATAGGTTGAATAAAATGTAATTCTTGTGCAATATATGGTTTTTATGCTTTCTGCTTTGTAAAAGGAACTTTCAACTTTACGTTAAAAACAACTAGTTATACATTTACTGTTAATTAAGGTTAATAATGTCAATATCGTGTTTAGCTTCTGCCCTTCCGTACAGATTCAATGCACGTCTCCTCATTTGTAACACCAGTCGTCATAGCTTATACTGTGGAAATCTCCACCATCACATACCAAAGCGACCATCAATTCTGGTATTGTTGCACATTTTGGTTGACTCTGATTAAGTTTACATCCGATAAAGTCCCATACATGTTCAATGGGGTGCAACGACCGGCCCAGGGAAAGTGTCTATTGATTTCGACGTCAGGTGTGCGTTGACAGTTCATTTCGATGAGGTCTTGCGTTGTCATTTTGAAAGACTGGTCTATCAGCTAACGCGTAATTATCAAAATGAAGCGATACTATGGTGTTCAGTACGTAATCCCGGTATCTTTGTCTATTCAGGGTACTGTCAATAACATATATATCAAGCTTACATTCATGGGAAATACATCTACATTCTGTTACGTTGCCGCCAGAGAAAGCTGTTGTAACAAGAATGTTATTGTCCCGATAAAATGTGTTTCTTTCCCTCCAAAGACGTGTTCTACAGTCGACGGGCTTCAGCAAGAAACTACTTTTATTGGACCAGTGAATTCTTCTCCAGTTACGCAAAGTCCGTCTGCTGTAGTTCCTAGCCCACTGTTATCTTGCACTGTGGTGTCTTAGAGTTAATTATGTGCTCTTTATTAGTCTATGGGCCTGTAGACGTCCACGTGCTAAAATTTTGTGTTAATTTAAAAAACAGTAACGCAAAAAAACACACAAGACACGTTTTAAAAAACTGATTTTTAAAAATTAAAATGTAATCGATTGACATTTTACCTGTATCCAAAAGTTACATATTGTTAACAGTTTTAAAGGGCATTAGCTACGAGATATAAAAAAAATATAAAGTTATGAATTTTTTTTATTGTTCAATGATTAATGAAAGTGAAATAGTAAAATAATTGTTCATTTTTAGCAGCCAATTTGGTTCAATTTTGTCAAAATAAGCAAAGAAACATCGCCAATGAATTATTCACTTGAAAGTGAATAATTCGACCTCATTGAATCCATATTCATGTGACCTTCAATTTAACCCCTTAGCTTGAGATTGGTTACGCATGTATTCAGCTATTGAAAGGAAAGGAATGTCAACATTGAAAGTTAAACAAGGATAAACCATTTGGTTGACTGTTTCGATCCACATAAAATCATTCTTATACAGGTAAAAACGATGATAAAAATACTTTTTAGCCTACAATATGAAACCAAACAGACCTAGAAAAATCCAATTGCACGTGGTCGCTATCTATTTATATTTATATTTATGTTTATATCGGGTTATATGACCGTTGACAGTCTTCGGAGCTCATCTCGATGGTTAATTAGATGACGTTTAGATAGAAATACACACGAAATGTTGATACTTATTATCGAATCCATGCACTGTTAATTGTTTATTTTAAACTTTTTGTAATTTGGATATATGTTTTAGTATGGTATAAATCAAGTATGAGAGTATGAGTTAAATCGGTGAACATGAATTTGACAGCTAATGCCCCTTTAATATAACGTATTTCTTTTATAAAAAAAAATAAAAAAAAAAAAAATACATCGAAATTAAATTGGGTGGTGCTTTACTTACGGCGGAATGTATGTGTTAACATACAAGGTTAAAGAAAGAATAATATGGTACTGATGCAAAAAATAAACGATAAATTATATTATAAAGAGTGGAATGCAGCTTTAAATATGTTCATACACTGTGAAAAAAAATAGCATCCCCAGAGTTTAACATATGTTATACTTATTGATTAAACATTCCTAGATATTATATTTTATTATATTTTCATTAATAAATATTTAAAGCAATTTAACACTTTCTGTTGTGTACAAAAACACAGGTCATGGTGTGAAGTTTCGTAAAAGTGTACAAAAACACAGGTCATGGTGTGAAGTTTCGTAAAACGCCAAGTTCATGTAATTTTCCAAATGATTTTGCACTATTGTATATGTAAGTTTATGATAAAATATGTAATCTTTTGATAATGTTTGAAACTCATTTTATTTTGTTAAAAGTGTTGAAGATTTTAGAAATTATGAACCTCTTCAATCATCCTACTCAAGATTTAGTTCATTTGCAAATTCGAATCAAGAATGTCCTTGTAAATGAATCGTTATAAAATAGGACAAAATCTTTAGTGCTTTTGCTGAAGTTGAAAAAGTCAGATATTTGGTCCTCTATATTCAATCTGAAGATGATGTACGGGAATAAATGTTTTGGTTTGTCAAAATCTTTTGGAATTGACAAAAAGTTCTTCTCTCGCAATGGTTTTCTTTTACTCGAGAATATTTCCCTTTAACATTCCACCCGTATGTCCTCCTAGCAACTTGACCAATGAGACAGAAAAACAAAGTGATATCGACTGGCAGATAACATAATAGTTTATCATCTATTTGGTATCCTAAATCTATTTCCGTAACACCTTACCCTTATAAAAATAAGGGGATGTAGTATGATAGTCAATGAGACAACTATCCACCCAAGTTCAAATGAAGTGGATGTTAGCAAATATAGGCATTTCGTCCATTTACGGAATCTGTTGGTTCATTGCAAAAAGGTACTTTATTTTCGCTTCAATACCAGTTTGCATATATTGACGGAAGCAATAAGTCAAGAATACTCTTTATATCTAGTTATCTACATGGGATTGCGATTCAGAATAAACACATGTCTAAACAAAACAATTAATTCTGTATTTTTCAACTTCGAGTTATCCTCCCTTTATCATCTTTTAAACTCGAGACCAATTATGATTACGACTGTCTGCTAAGCCCATGTATATAATTGTATGAACATGATGAAAGCAATGTATTACTCACAAGGGTTTATGTGGTAGCTAAAGGGAAATATCGTATTCGTTGTTCAACTGAAACTCCCAAAGCTATCAAATGATATTAACATTAATATGAGTTATTGTCTCGTTTGAATGGATAATATACATGAGATAAGCTGCAGCATTTTTTTTAATTTAATTTCAAATTGTTTAATTCTCAAACTCAAGCTTCTCTTAAATTACAAGACGAAATGGTCAACAAAAAGAATTACAATTAGTAATACCAGTATGCCATTAGTAATATCCAATGACAACTGGTAAGTGAGATATTAAAGCTCTATTTGTATTTTTTCTCCTTTTGGTTTATATGACGATTGCTTGTTTAGCATAAGCTTATTTTATTAAACAAAGCATACTGTAAACGTTGAATTTTGTTAGACTTGTTATTTATTGTGTTAAGTTTACTCATATGTGTAAACGAAATGTGTTTATATTAAAAAAAAAACAGATGGCAAAATTTAAATTCTATCAATTGTTGACTATTAAGTTATTAATTTTATCGAAATTGATCATAAGACTGATGCTGGAAACAATAGTGCCGAAACAAAACATATTTATTAGTGAGTAAGAAATTTTAAAATCAATTATATAGTAGATACAGTACACCTTGCACTATTGGCAACTGAATTAAAAGAGCTTAAAACCTTTGATAGTGTATTAATAAACTGAACTGATCTGTTTTAGTAAAAACAAAATAAAAAAAAATTAAAAGTTTTAATGAAATTTTTATATTTAATTATCAAGTATTCAATCTTCTTCCTTCTCTTCACTTTATCCTTGAATCTTGCACGACGAATTTCAAATCAGCTCAAAACTTACAAAATATGAGTCTTTCTGAATTTGGTGATATATTGGAGTTAGATAGTAAACATTGGCATTTCCTGAGTCGGTTCCGGTGGGGCTCGTTTTGGTTAATCTTGTTTCTGTGTAGTGATTTGTCGACTATTTATCATATTTTCGTCAGTAAACATTCAAAATAAGCAACATAATTCAAATAAAGGCTATTAAAAAAACTCGACGGGCATAATCACTATCGTTACAGTTTTATCACTGCTGGTGAACGTTTTGCCCCCGAATGTACCACCAGTCTAGTAGTCGGCTCTCCAAAGAAAAATCAATGATACAGTCATTTTAGTACAAAAAGTTCTACCATCTGGCATAGATGGTCATAACCAGATTTTAAATATTTTTTGGGAAAATGCTCTTCCAACATTGTTATTGCTTTGATTTTCCAATTGTACTAACTTATAACACTGGATTTTTTATGATTTTTAACAACTTCCGATTGTACTATTCATAAAATGAATAATTTGAACAACAGGTTTTTTGCTCCGAGGCAAAGATGACCTCACCATACATGAAATGGTATTTGTTGGAACTTTTGATATTCATTGTTCATTTAATTCGTTGTCAATCTGGCTCAAACTATTTTTGGTTCGAACACCACGGATTGTTTATTTTTGTAGACAAAAGCGTCTGGTGCACTAAATAATAAGCCTGATATCTTTGGTGAGTGTTACATGTCATGAGAACTATACAAAATTTTAAAAATTAAGTCGGAACTGCACCTGAATTCATGTTGGCTATCTGGCTTGGGTTCGTGCTAAACTTAATTTTGTTTTCTGTTTAATGTGTTGAGGTTGTCGGTAGTTGTTGTCTGTCATATTATACCCTATTCCAGGAGTAGAACTATATTGGAATCCCTTTGTTTTGTCTGTCCGTTCGTCCAACAAATAGTTGTGTCCCACTTTTCTCATAAACCACTTATTATAACACAATAACTTCATAAGAAGCTTGCCAGGGATAGGTTGTAACATATGCGCACTTTTCTTATCTGTCAAATACATACTTTACATCTCTCAATATTCTGAATGAAATTTTTCATATCACAATTCTGCAATACTACAGAACATAATGACTTAATATTTAAGTATCCCAACAATAATGAGTTGTGACGCATGTGCTCTCATTGAATCGGTCAGAAGACTACCTCCTGTTTCCGATACTTTGGGTCACGATCTAGGATATGCTTAGCACGACTAGCACGACTACGTGTGTTTCGATTAGTATTTTGTCATAAATCAGGCCGTTTATTTTCTCCTTTAAATCATTTGACATTGTGTCATATCGTTGTCTTTTATTACTGACTATACGGTATATGATTTCGAAGGCCGAATGGTGACATATAGCTGCTTACATCGTTTTTATGTAATGATTTTGTGTCTTATCTTCGACATTTTTTTTATCCTTTCTTTGGTATCTGCCATCTCTTTTTATCTTCTTTTTCCCAAGTTTACTTTACGAAGTGACATTTTTACCTATTGTTTTTGTTTGTTTTGTTCACACATCGTTGTCAATATAATGGAATTTGATTGCGACTGTCGTACAAGTGAGAGGTTTAGCTAGCTTTAAAACCAGGTTCAATCCACCATTTTCTACATAAGAAAATGCCTGTACCAAGTCAGGAATATGACAGTTGTTATCCATTCGTTTGATGTGTTTGTTTTTTTGATTTTGCCATTTGATTGGGGACTTTCCTTTTTGAATTTTCCTCGGAGTTCAGTATTTTTGTGATTTTACTTTTTTCTTATTGAAACTTTGAAAAAAACTCATCTGCTTATAAAAATGCATTTTTAATTCTTTATTATTGATCAAATTTGTAGGAGTCAAAATAGGAGGAAATGCAGAGTTTGTAATCGATATGTTGTACAAATTTGGATTATTTTTGTAATCTTACATTATACCTTAACTATAATAATAAGTATTTAGTAATTAGAGGGTTTCATCCTTCGTAACACCATTAACTGTACCAATCTGACTGCACCAGATGCACATTCCGACAACTAATATCTCTCCAGTGATGCTCGAGGACAATATATTTGAAACCAAAAACCGAATACAATCATTGAAGAGCTGATAAAACCAAACAAATCAAAGAAAAGCCAAATCCGACTTATGGAACAAACAGTATTCCATTTACGCACCTGCAATTCATACACATGCATGGGAAACTTTAAATATAGTCCCTTCAGAATCAAAACCGTCAATGCTTAATAACCATAGGTTTGTAGCTATACTTGCTCTCTCTAATGTTATACTTTTTTCTTGCAAAAGACACTTTAAACCTCGTGGAGTTTTACTTAGAAAATGATTAGAAGTGGCAGTACAGTTTAAAAGCGGCAAGCAAATTACAAACCTAAAAAGATGTATTTTTGTAGGACTGGTTTTTGGATTCTGGATTGAGAAGTTCGGGTTGTCTTTTTTATATACTCAAATCACCATTGATAGTGGCTGAAATTTGCGTTGTTTTCCTAGCATACCGTTGCTTTTACTATATAATTTTCTTTTGCTTGAAAAATCAATAGTGATAGTCTATCTCATCTAGGAAAGTTATTTTCTAATTTCTATATATTTCTCATCTTACATTTGATGCGTTAGCAGTTTTCCGATGTTCACATCTCCTAAATCCACTAAGAAGATACAAAGAAAAGTAGCAAAGAAAAGTTGAGGGAATCGCATGATCTCTAAAAGGAGCGAAAATGGGTGCGTCGACAGGATAAGCATCTCCTGCTTATAGAAATAAGAAGATATGGTATGAGTGCCAATCTCCATCCAAGTTACAATGTGTAAAAAGTTAATATGCATTCCCGCCTTGAGAATCCTCACTCAATCACTATTTTACAATCTGGAGTAGGACACAATCGGTAAATTTACATATGAGACGACTATTCTGGTATTTACATATGAGACGACTATTCTGGTATTTACATATGAGACGACTATTCTGGTATTTACATATGAGACGACTATTCTGGTATTTACATATGAGACGACTATTCTGTTATTTTAAGATCTAAGACCGCAAAAACATGTCGCTAATGAGTTGAGAAACAGACACGTCGCATCGGTCCATCATCTCAATGTAAGAGATTGTTTTCTTTTCTTAATCGCACCATTCCTCATAAAAAAATGGCTAATTCATTCAGTTTATACGATGATTATAATACAAATTGTTCTTTTGGTCTGAAGGAAGAGGTTACTCACAGTAGTCACTAAACCGTACAGTGCCTTATACATGTTTACATCCTCGTTTACTGTATATTCACCGCACTGGCAATCATACTTCATCTTCTTATTTTCATATTAAACAGTGGAGGTTCCAGAAACTATTGAATAGGAAAAGGGTGGTGAAATATGATTTACAGGGGCGGATTCAGGCGGGGGGCATGGCGGGCGTGCCCCCCCCTAAAATTTGCAAAGCATGGGTTGTCCTCAGCTTAATAAAGAATATTTCGATAATTTTACCTCAAAAAAATTTAAGTTTGCGCCCCCAACCCCCTAACCTGAAATCCTGGATCCGCCCCTCGTTAAAAAGGGGGATATCAAACCGTTTATTTGCTGATTTTATTATACACAATCTGGAGAGAAGATAGTACCTCATCCTGGACATTTACTCTCCTAATCAGGAAACAAGAGTGCACACGCTGAAATGTCTCGCCTTCTTTACTAACCATTGATATTATGTTGATAGTCCTAAATATAAAGCTTCACTACAACTATCAACCTTACAATCATTCAATACACTAAATATAGTTGACCTATTGCTTAAAGTTTCTAAGAAACAGACTTAACCAAGAAAACTAAACATTGACCAATGAACCATGAAAATGAGGTCAAGGTCAGATGAACTATGCCAGGCAGACATGTACACCTTTCAATCAACCTATGCATTAAATATAGTTGACCTATTGCTTATAGTATCTAAGAAACAAACTTAACCATGAAAACTTAACATTGACAAATGAACCAACAAAATGAGGTCAAGGTCAGATGATACCTGCCAGACAGACATATACAGCTTACAATCCTTCTATACAAAAAATATAGTTGACCTATTGCTTATAGTTTAAGAAAAACAGATCAAAACAAAATAACTTAACACAGAGCAATGAACCGTGAAAATGAAGTCAAGGTCACATAAAGCCTGCGAGACTGACATGTGCATCGTAAAATATTTCCATACACCAAATATAGTTGACCTATTGCATATAGTATTAGAAAAAAAGACCAAAACTCAAAAACTTAACTTTGACCACTGAACCATGAAAATGAGGTCAAGGTCAGATGACACCTGCCAGTTGGACATGTACACCTTACAATCATTCCATACACCAAATATAGTAGACCTATTGCATACAGTATAAGAAAAACAGACCAAAACACAAAAACTTAATTATAACCACTGAACCATGAAAATGAGGTCAAGGTCAAATCACACCTGCTAGTTGGACATGTACACCTTACAATCCTTCCATACACCAAATATACTAGACCTAATGCTTATAGTATCTGAGATATGGACTTGACCACGAAAACATAACCTTGTTCACTGATCCATGAAATGAGGTCGAGGTCAAGTGAAAACTATCTGATGGGCATGAGGACCTTGCAAGGTACGCACATACCAAATATAGTTATCCTATTACTCATAATAAGAGATAAATTAACATTACAAAAAATCTTCACTTTTTTCAAGTAGTCACTGAACCATGAAAATGAGGTCAAGGACAATGGACATGTGACAGATGGAAACTTCGTAACATAAGGCATCTATATGCAAAGTATGAAGCATCCAGGTCTTCCATCTTTTAAAATATAAAGCTTTTAAGAAGTAAATTAACGCCGCCGCCCCCGGATCACTATCCCTATGTCGAGCTTTCTGCGACAAAAGTCACAGGCTCGACAAAAATCAGATGTTAACACTGATATGATAACTTTTCAATTAAAAGTTGCAAGTAAAAAATTGAGTGATTTTTTATATACTTTAGAGTTTGGTTCACTTGTAATTCTCTATTCTTAGTCTAGCGTGTGTAACATAATTTACTTTGATTTATATTGATTTGAAATGATGGATTAAAGTAAATGGGCCAGCAAAACAACAGAAATATATTGGTTTTTAAACCCTATCGAAAATACAACTCAAAAAGGGGGGGTCTACGTCATCACGCAGGGTGTCAGCTTCAAAATTTTGTCGACTGAAGGTAAGATGTTAGTATGTCAGTTATATGAGGGCTAGGGTCATACAGAACAGTCCATCAAAGACCTTATAAACTAGGCTACAAATAGTCCATCACTCATTGTTCTGTCATTTTTGCAACCACTTCGATACTCGTTCTAGGAATTCGGCAAACTTGCAGGATATCGGCAACTGTTTTCATAACAAAATCTCGAACAACAGAAACAGTCTACTTTATCAACAAATTAACAAGTCTCAATTTATTTTTGAACTCGAGAAAATACTTGTAACTCACAAATATCCGTCATTGTGATGGACCATTTGTAGCCTAGTTTATAAGGTCTTAAATGGACTGTATAACCATAGCCCTCGTATAACAGACATAAGAAAACATCTTACCATCAAGTGACAAGATGGTGGTCCGATTTTGATCGCTGACACCCTGCGTGATGACGTATATTATCACCATTAACCTAATTTATCACCAAATCTAATCATTCGTACAAATAAATCATTCTATTAAAAAAATGTATTACATATATTACAATCTTTACAGCTTTCTTTTAAACGCCTTTCGATTTACCTAGAGATCTCGTCGAATCGGATGGAAAATCAGACAGCGAAATTGTATCGAGTAAACGTAGTACTACCTTTGAAGTTGCGATTTGACTCCATACATAAGGATATGTATTAATGCTAATACTATTAGTTAAGGATACTGACTACGTTTATACAAGGGCTATCATTTCATGATTTTGATAGCGTTAATACATATGATATTATTTAGGATTTGAGCAGGTTAATGTCAAGGCTATAAATGGAGGATTTTGGCTACGTTAAAACCAAAGCTTATGTTTGAAAAATTTTAATTACGTTCATACCAGCGTTACAGCTGCGAAATGAGGAGTAAAATGAATTCCCAATACATACTTGACAAGGCGAAACATAAGTTATGGTGTCACAATCAAGTAAATCAAGTATGTACACCAAAGGGAAATATAAGAGAAACAGATCACCAGGCATGTACACAAACATGAAATTGTGAGTGTCTACAAAAACATATAACCTAATTCATTATTTGGAACATGGCAACGTTTCGTTGTTAGTTTGTTAATTTTATATTCATGGGAATCTTTAAAAGGTTTCTAAAAAAAGTCCCCAAAATTTATCAAATAATACCGATTGACGATTAAGTGGAAATGCTTATAGTGTATGTAAACAGCAATTTTTTACTTGGATGTCTCCAAATGTTTATGATCATATTTCCGCATTAGAAAAAAAATTACAACACCAAAGCTACTTTTGTCAGGTTTCACATTGGAAGATCTAGAAGAAAGTGTTACAGATGGTTTGAACTTAATTTATTTCAGATTTATTCTTTAAACATTAGTTACAAAGCTACCATTGGACATCTTTCTCTGTTTTATAATGTTAGTATGGTCAGGTTTTTACTTTGCACTTTAAAGTACTCATTCCAGCAATAAAACTATTCAAAATAAGGTATTAAGCACATGAAAATTGTGTAGTATCATCATTGTAATGAAGACTCTTCCATAGTTATGATACTACTTGATTACTCCAAACCCGATCGTCTTAGAGCAAAGAAAACAAAATCAATGGCTAGTAAAAATTCCTAATGTTTCTCAATTCCATAATATACCCCCAAAAATACAGTTTTAATATTTGAGGATATAAAATTATTGTAAATGTTTTCCAAAATGAATCTGTTTTCTTGAAATAATGTTTAACTGAACTATCTGTTACTACTATAAAACATATTTGAAACCAATCGCTTGGGTATGGGATATATCAGTCATATTTCCCAGACACGTATTATTTTGCCTTATATCATATTGAATTTATCAGAAAAATGTAAAATAACAAAAATACCGAACTCCAAGGGAAATTCAAAACGGAAAGTCCTTTATAAAATGGAAATATCAAAAGCTCAAACACATCAAACAAATAAAAATCAACTGTCATATTCCTGACTTGGTACATACATTTCCTTATGTAGCAAATGGTGTATTAAACCTCATTTAATCAGAAACGCTTTGTCATATATCAGTTAGATTCTCAAAAGCGTCAGTTGATATACCAGTTCCTTTCTAAGATGACTGAGAAGAATCGTAGGGTCATTTATCATTGGCATTTCCTAGAAGCGTGTGAGTCATATTAGTGGCATTTTCCAGAAGCGTGTAGTCATATATAAAGGGCGGTTCATAACCACTATCAAATTGTATAACAAGTATGTTGAGAGTTGTCCTTTTATAGAACATCTGTCACTCAGTCCCACCAAAAAAAGGGGAACATTCCAAGATATTTTTCGAACTTTATATTTCCTGGTTTTAATTATTAATTTTGATCAATTCATAAATATTTTTTTCTGTCCAGTGTATGTGGTAATATGATCTTTATAAAGAAAACTTCTAAAGATCTTGTACGCAATGAACGGGCATGAAAAACAATGGTGAAGGCAATACCAATAGGTATTCGTACAAATACATGTCACATTTACCGACATCCTGACATTGCTTCACCGTTCAAAACATGTATTACAAAACGGCAACAAGAAAACAACAATTAAAATTATCATTAGTATATATACTTTACAGATTAAAGATAGTGATAGCGATTTAAATAACACGAACTAATTCATTGAAGTTCAAATTTGTTAATATGTATTGAGATAGTGACGAATCATTAATACAGTGTCATTATGTATTGTAATTATTCATTTAATTTGTAAAAGATTAAGCAGCAGAAAGATTTTTTAAAGATAAAAGAAGTCTGACTTTATTAAGTAACAACTAATCATAATTAAGACATGGAAATGGATACTAGAAAAATGGTAACTTTCTTCATCTTCGGGATACTTCTGGTCATAAATATTGATATATCCGAGGCAGGTTAGTAGCGTACCTCTTTTAAATGTCAGATCTAATGTTTAATGGTTTGTTCATCTTACTTTGAACAGATCCGGAATTTTTCAGCGAGTATTAAATATTTATTTGAAATAAAAATAATAACAGCATTATTCGGCGTTTCATTATGCAAGGACATTTATCACGGGTGTGATTCGGTATATCGAGAAAAATGATTGTGAAAGAATACCTAACGGTGGTCAAGTATTGCGATTGGATCGTGAAAGCTCTGGTATAGGGTTGTGAATGAAATTTTATCGAGAAGACATTTGCAAGGTCAATTGCTAATCTGATTTAATGAATTATACGGAAAATTTACTTATAAATAAAACTGTCTGTCAAAATGGTTCAACATTATGATCAGTATCTGAGAAAAATCAAGGTTTAAAAGTACATCATTTTTACAAAACTACAAAAGGCAGATTGCTCTTCAACATTTCAATGACATTAAATATGTAAACAAAGAAGACTTTTATGATAATTCGAATAACTAAACAACTTTTCTGTGTAAAATTTCATTCATTTTAATGATTCAAATGGTTCATAACGTTAATTTGTGTTAGCTTAATCAGAAATTTTGCAAAAAAATGAAATATTTACAAAAAATTGATTTTTCGGATCGTGAAAAGGATCGTGAAAGATCTGAAGCTACGAAAACGTTCAAATCATTATTCAATTATAGGATAATTTATATTTTTAATTCGTTTAACAAAAACTGGATTTGCATGACTCATCCCGGTGAATAGGCCTTTAATCGTTCAATGCCATTGGATCTTATTATCTTACTATGTATAATACCCCAACGACTAGGTACCTTATAGCAATAACACTCTATTTGTCCGTTCTTCATAAGTTTTGATTTCTTATACAAATTTAAGATTGAGAATAGAACTTAATCGGCTAAATTACAGTTTAAGCTGGGCATCATGCACAATCGAGGTATGTTGATTGGTAATTTCCAAACTAAGTTGTCTACAATGACGTATAGCTATTGTGAACAGACTGATCAAACAATCAAGTAAAACGTTATCTTGGTACCTTTTTAGTTATGTTAGCGCAGCCACGAAATAAACAATAAATAAGCAAATATTGCCATACTATGTACGCACGAACGACACTCCATATAACTGAAAGTAACAACCCTTACAAAAAAAGGCGAACATATGCCTATATTTCCAGAGCGGATGCATTAAGCATTATAGATACATATATAATTTTACTTTACGACAATTTACGCTCCTGAAGATCCTTTTATCGTGTAAATCTTCTTATCTAAATACGTTTTTAGTTATTTTAATAACTTTTAAGAAAGAGTGTTGAAATAAAAAAAAAGTGAAACAAATGAAAGCAGTAATGTTCGTTCTTATTAAAATAATTACACGATTCAACTACATGTAGTTGCAAGTATATCAATTGGTAAAAACAAATTGTTTTCTGTTCTTAAGTCTGGTCCGGCGCGGGACGTTTGCGTGGTTTAGAAATAAAACATTTCGGTCTTCACAAATTGAAACAAAGTTAGATAAACTATGATGGTACAGTTCCTCTGACTATTCATGCAACAGAATGGACACACGAGGAATATAGTTTCCAATTTTGAATCCACTAATTATAAAGCTAATTGAAGAATTCGGTCAAAACTTAAATGTTCTAGTCCTAATAGTATCTTTTGTCGTGAATTTCTGTATAGAGTTTCCCGTGTGAAACTGATATATCAAAATATATAATAGGACCATTATTTCTATTTTACTAGATTTATTTAAAGTCAGTTCCTTTAGTGATATTTTTGCAGTAGAATTGGAGAATTGTTGATTATATAAAAAAAAAAATATCATCAAGGTAACGGTTAGTGTTATTAAAAATTTTAATCAAATGGAAGAAGAAGAGGGGCGAAAGATACCAGAGGGACATTCAAACTCATATGTCGAAAATAAACAGACAACGCCATGGCTAAAAAAAGAAAAAGACCAATAGTACACAAAACACAACATAGAAAACTTATTTAGATGGATCTTTACTAAGTGTGGCCATGAACTGTATTCAGAGCAATACAGGAACAAGTCTGCTATTGGAGGAGTGTGATCAATACCCATAGGAATACCTACAACCTACAAATAATTTATCAAAAGACCATTTAATTAAATAAGATATTTTTTTTTTTTAACAAGATTGTATGGAAGTGAAGTGTAGAGAGTCGAACATTCATAACTGTCAACCGAATTGAAAGGTCCATCAAAATCACGTAATGTATCTAAAACATCCAAACAGTTTTTTTACACTCCTCATTATGTGCTTATGTTTTATTACAAAAGTTAATTAAAAGTTTTTTTTTGTTGTAGTAAGAGAAAGTCGTAAAGGGACAGAAATATTAGCCGAGATGAAACGATATTTGACAAACAAAAAATGAACATGCATGGCAACACCACGAATATCATATGGTCGTCCCATTACATAGTAGGGACCTTCAAATGTTCAGATAGGGTATTATGCTGAGATGTGGTGATGGTATGATTGTTGACTGTTTGACTCTCTTGAATTTAGAAGAATTTATAATATCATTCTTAAGATCTTCTGTGATTGTATTTACGTCATACCCATAACCACATTGTCGGCGTCTATGTCCGTCGGGTAGAACACAAAACGCTTTCACAGTACATAAAGTGTGTTCCTTATTCTGAGATGGGCGTATTATCAATCCTTTTATTTATTTCTAAAAGGTCTTCGTTTATCCTTTCACCTTTTTTTCTCCTATTCTTAGCGTCTCCGTCCAGTGAATTTAATGCAGAAAATGTTACCCCCTTACGTTTTGTTAATCATGGTACCTGTTTTTTTGTTCATCGTGTCCAAATCAAACATTCCAGAAATATATGCTACTAGGTATTCAATATTTTTCTATTCACTTTACACTAGGGCTTTCTCCGTTAACTAATAATGCTGACAAATTTTGTCACTGGACATAACAACAAACAATATAAATAAGAACAAGATGTGGTATGAGTGCCAATGAGGCAACTCTCAATCCAAGTCACAATGTATAAAAAAAGTTAACAATTATAGGTCACAGTACGGCCTTCAACACGAAGCCTTGGCTCATACCGAACAACAAGCTATAAAGGGCCCCAAAATGACTAGTGTAAAACAATTCAAACAGGAAAACCAACGGTTTAATCTAGATAAAAAACGAGAAACGAGAAACACCTATGAACCACACCAACAAACGACAACCATTGAACAACAGGCTCCTGACTTAGGACAGGTGCTTAAAAATGCAGCGGGTTTAAACGTTTTAACAGGCGCAAACCTTCACCCTAACCTGAGACAATAGTGTAACATTACAACATAAAAATACACACTATAAAATATCAATTGAAATGGCTTAACTCAACCAAAAAGACATTTAAACACAAACAAGTAAACATGCACTGAACGAATAAGTTTGATCTATGACACAATAAAAATACAATATTAAAATGTAGGTGCCTATATAACATAGACGTTACAGGTAGTAATAAATAAGATGTAGGAAGAGTGTCAATAAGACAACTCTTACCTGGGACAAAATGACGGCAAATAAAACAACGTACACAGGTAAATTTAAATATGATAATTTTGTTGTTAGGAGTACGGAAGTAAACATTTTTTACAAAATTAATAAATTTGTCGATGTTTCTCCTATTGTTTGGAAAGGAGGGAATGTATGCCTACACAATTTTTTTTAAATATTTCCTTTTTTAACAACTCCACTGACAGTATACGTCCTATTGGCTTTGAAAGAAGGCAACATGGATAGTTTACATGTACATAGAACAGATCGTGTATCTACCTCTCAAATACATTCGGGTATGGAACACTATTCAATAGCACAAAATATGCTCTCGGGTCAGAACTTCATTGAAAAAAATCTCTCAACAAGTTTATTTGCATGCATCTGAAATACAAATCTCTACTGAAAACAACTGTTGCACTGTACGCATTATCTAAACATAAAAAACGTTTTGTACAGTATATAAGCTCACTAGTATTAAACTGACATATCTAAATCATGAAAGTGCAGTTGTTTTTCATTGGACAGTGTTTAACCTTGAACAAGTGTCATCGCCGTTAATATTACAATCATATATAAAGCTGTACTTGTCGTTCATTAAATACGTTAATTTGTAAATAGCGTGCTTTATAGCATAGACAATCTTTGGGTACCACCAAGGTATGGGGTTGATATGGGCATTGAAATCAAATATATACTACAGAATGGACTTTGACACAACGAGATAACTACGCGTGAAATAAAGTATGGGTGGAGTGATATAATCGTGGGAATTAGCTAACGAGCACATGTCCCATAACTTAAAACAATAATTAGGAACATACATCTAATGCGCGTTTACTGAATGAGCACTACATACGAGAAAAAAACTATAAAACAGGATTTCAATTATGATAAATGATATTTTCTGTCTTATAACAAATTTGAATTGGTCTGATACTTTCCTGCAATCATCAAATTTATTTCAAAATTAAAGATAATATAGTTCTATCATATAAAACGTATTTATACTAAATTTAAAAGAAAATCGAAATGAACAAATAAATTATGACAATGCTTTTGATTCAATCATTTTGTTTCAGGATGTGCTCCGATGAGATATGACATTGCATTTTATTTCGTTAATCCAATAGAAATTTCAAAAGAACAAAGGATAAAGCAGATGGAATTTGCGAAGACAGTTGTCGCATCATTTAGTGTTGGGTACATGCAAACTCGTTTTTCTTGTCATGTGTATGGGAGTGAGGCGAATGAACTTTTTAATTTTATTTCTAAAACTACTGTTGAAGGTATAGATACTGCTCTGAACACGTTTCCTGATGAAACAAGTTCCGGTAGTGTAGAAACAATAAAGAACTTGAAATATATATGGACAACCATATTTACAGAAGCAAATGGTGATAGAGCAGAAATACCAAATTACTGTCTTATGATAGCAATAGGTGAAAATAATGATACATTCACCTTAGCAGGAAATGAAAAACCGGATACTATTGATCTTAGGATATATGATGCCCAAGATGCTTACCCTGAATACAGCAGGTACTACTCTGATAACCAACTTAAACAGACAGTCGTCGATGCAACTAAATACACAAAAATAGGTTCTTTGGACGATTTGTTATCAGAAGCAACAGCTTTTACAGATACCTTCACATGCGATTATTGTAAGCATACTTATATCCAATCTGATTAAGATACATATCATGTGTCCAAGCTTTGATTACAAGGATCCGAAAACGCTCCATGTTACTTTCTATTTAAAAGATCATTCGGGATTCTCTGGTTTCGTCGGATTAATACACACCTCAAAAATTTGAAGGCTGAAATTTCATTGGCTGGTATAATAATTACCAAAACAGAAAGTAAAACTGTCAGTTCCTTGTAAGCAAAGATTGAACACGGGATATTTATTTTAAACAGATTGACTTCTATCAAAAGTATCAAACAGATAATTTAAGTCGTTTCTGTTCGTTTCGTCAATAATTTAATTGAATAGGATTTTCGACATTTTAGCCTTCATGGTGTAGAAGTTGATCACCATTTATTACCTACTACAGAATAAGTAAAAAGATTTTTAACTTTTCTTTTATAATACTCAATTTTCTATAAAGAAACAGAGGCGGCCGACTTTACACAAAACTCATAATATTTGTTTAGGCACAAAAGTTAGTTCATGTGCACATAAATTATTTATTCATGCAAGTCGATATTAAAATGTCTAGTGTTTTCATCCATCTGAAGGTATGCAAAAAGTATATATATATTTAATTACTCCAAGAATGTTTTGCAACATTTCCATTGAGATAAACGGGGGTCAAACTTTAAAGGCAATTATCTATGTAGAAAATACTCAAAATGATCAGAAATTAGCCGCAAGGATGTTGAACTGATTAAAGAAGAAAACAGTTGTGAAAAAACAAATGGGGGGGGGGGGGGGGGGGGGGGGGGGGGTTAACAAAAATTCCCCTCCCAATTTTTTTATTTTTTTTTTGCAAGGGAAATGTTTGTTTCTGTTCATATGTAATCAAGTATGCCATCAGATTCACCCTTTGTCAATTTTGTGCATTATATGCTATATGAATTAGATAATGTGCACCAAATTATTACTCGTTTGGGAATAGTGTGGATGTCTGAAATTGGAGAAACATAACTGTAATACTTTAGAATACACAAATGATTGAATATTAAGAAACCACAAACTTTAAAGATAAATGCAGATTTGGTTTAACTTTATTTTCAGTCAGAAGTTGTGTTGCTCAACCTTTTTTAAGTAGTTTATATATATATATATATATATAATTCGTCTAAACAACAGCCCAACAGTGTTAGATCTGTAAATTTGAGGAAGCAAATATTTTGTTCTTCCCTGGCCGGGATTCGAACTCATGCTACTGAGATATCGTGGCACCAAATGGCCTTGCAATATGCCCGACGCGCTGGACCACTTGATCACCTAGGCTCTATAATAATAAAGCTTTCGGTGGCCGGGTGTTACCTTTCCTCGTCAGTTTTTATCTAGCGTCGTAACAAATTGGGGGGGTTAAACAAAAATGCCACTCCCAATTTTTTTTTTTGCAAGAGAAATGTTAGTTTCTGCTCATATGTAATCAAGTATGCCATCAGATTCACCCTTTGTCAATTTTGTGCATTTTATGCTATATGAATTGAATAATGTGCACCAAATTGTTACACGTTTGGGAAAAGTGTGGATGTCTGAAATTGGACAAGCATAACTGTAAGACTTTAGAATACACAAATGATTGAGTATTAAGAAACCACAAACTTTAAAGATAAATGCAGATTTGGTTTAACTGTATTTTCAGTCAGAAGTTGTGTTGCTCAACCTTTTTTAAGTAGTTTATATATATATATATATATATATATATATAATTCGTCTAAACAACAGCCCAACAGTGTTAGATCTGTAAATTTGCGGAAGCAAATATTTTGTTCTTCCCTGGCCGGGATTCGAACTCATGCTACTGAGATATCGTGGCACCAAATCGCCTTGCACTATGCCCGACGCGCTATACCACTCGACCACCTAGGCTCTATAATAATAAAGCTTTCGGTGGTCGGGTGTTACCTTTCCTCGTCAGTTTTTATCTAGCGTCGTAACACAGTTCATGATATATAAGGCATGAAGATGAAATTGTTACAGATCAGCTGAATAATCTATTGTAAAGGATCTTACAAATTAATGTAAGATGCAGTCACAGAAATAATTATATTATAAGTACGTCTGAACCAGTGACGACTCTACAACATATTTTATCCATCGGATCACCAGCAGTGATGGTGATACATGGCTGAAAATACATTCTGTATATATAATTCGTCTAAACAACGGCCCAACAATGTTAGATCTGTAAATTTGCGGAAGCAAATTTTTTGTTCTTCCCTGGCCGGGATTCGAACTCATGCTTCTGAGATATCGTGGCATCAAATCGCCTTGCACTATGCATGACGCGCTTTTTTTTTTTATCTTGATAAAATTTATTGCACAAATCATTATTATCTTCTACATCAATTTACAACATATTTATGAAAAACATCAAGTCCCTATACTATCATGCTACCTCACACTAATCTTTCATGCAGCTCAATCATTCAATTTATATTAGAAACCTACGCAGAATACAAAATGAAACATAAAATCAACTGATAATTGTCTTTGTTTTCAGTAAATAAAGTGACGAAAAGCGAAACGAAATAATCAAATGTTCGTACGGGGCTGGATTCCATTCCACCATGCGAATTCACGATCAGAAACGTTGATATTCATCAATATAAAACAATGTTTATGAGAAAACAGTCATAAAAAATTCCGCAGGCAAAAAAAAAACTAGCATACACTCAATCTTACAAATACATACGCGCATGCTCACAAAAATTATATTTACCAACAAATTATTTACAACAATTTTTTATTTTTAGCATAGTCTATCATTTGAAGTATTGCCTGTTCAATTTCAGCATTCATATACTGCGTTTCACGAACATCACTGAAGTCTTGTGTCAATACTGTATTGAACTTTTTGTAATATCGGTCACTGCTAGTTAGTTCTTCGTATGTGTTTTGGTCCATATCAAAAATAATTAGTCTACCCGTATTTTCAATTTTGCATATCAGTTGACCAATTCTATTCCTACTTTTTTTCAGGACAAATTTGGAAATCAAATCACATTTTCCATCATCACTTGCATCATGTACGATTTTTATATCAGAATCGTCTGTTTCACTTTCTTCAGTTCTTTTATTTGAATTGTTAATTTCTTTCGTTTTAACACAAATATTTGTAGCCGGCGATTTGACACATGTTCTATCTTTCGCTTTACGGAACTTAAAAGTAGAAAAGAAATCAGAATCATCATCCAATTTCCAATATTCTTTGGCTACTTTAATTTCTTCAATATTGTCCACTGAACATGCGTTTTTAGCTTTATTTAGATCTTTGTTATTGTTTACACATTCCGATAAGTCAGACGATTTACCTGTATTGTATACACACAAATCAATATTTACATTCTCAGCTGATTGAATTTCACCTGTTAACGTTGTTGGGGTGCCATGCATGACGCGCTAGACCACTCGACCACCTAGGCTCTATAATAATAAAGCTTTCGGTGGCCGGGTGTTACCTTTCCTCGTCAGTTTTTATCTAGCGTCGTAACACAGTACATGATATATTAGGCATGAAGATGAAACTGTTAATGATCAGCTGAATAATCTATTGTAAAGGATCTTACATATATTAGAGGAGGGGATAAGGCGTCTGCGCAATGCTAGGCGGTGTTGTCGTAGAAGTGAGAATTAAAAAGTGCAGGTTCCAGCCCCGCTGGGGGAGGAAGTAAAGAATCAGATCTACTCTTACATCGTTAGGTTGATTTTCTATGCACTTTATATATATATACTGTTTTGCATGCACACGTATAAAAATTGCGGTTTTTATCCAACGCCATCATAGGTTTGAATGTTGTTTTCAGTTTAGACTTGTTTATATTTTTTCGTTTGGGCTTGTATTATATTTTCCTTCGGACGATTTCAACTTCCTATTTATCAATTTCCAATTTCTCAGCAGTAACATACCCTCTGCCCCTTCGTATGCTGTTTACATATCTCAATTGATACGTTATTCTCGTGCTTGTTCACACTATACGGACTTCATATACAGGAGTGTGCTCCTTACACAGAAACTGCTCCAACAAAGTTATGAGGAGGACAGATTAAAAATGACACTCCGTAAATTTTACGGACACCATCACGAATTGGTTAGTCCATACGATGTGTCTTTGTCCAAACTAACTAAGGACATTTTTACCACGTGTTAGATTGTGGTTTGTCATTACGTCGTCTGATCTTTTAATTACCGAACGTGACTTATTCCCGATTGTGACTGTTTTGCTGAGTGTGAAACCGCATTGCTATAAGACGTGTTACGGTACCTTTCTATCCCAAATTCATGTATTTAATTTTTATGTTATATTTGTTATTCTCGTCGGATTTTGTCAAATGTCTTAACGTCTTTTTCTGTTATATTCGTGTGTTATGGTAAAGATAATTAATCACCCCCTTCATTTATTAAATTTTAGTTTGGTTCAACGAAATTTATACGATATATTTGGTTTACAGTTTGATTCAGAAGAAACACCGACATAGCTAGATAATACAATTAATTATCTAATTACTACCACAATTTGATATTAATAAGTATTGTAATTTTCATTGTTGTTGGTAAATGTAGTGTCAGTGTTGCAAATCTAATCTTGAGTCAATCCTGATCCTATCTTATTTTTGGGAAATATTTTGGCAAATTTAGATGTGACGTCACTTTGTGTGTTTTTTTGGAGTGTCAGATGTGACGTCACTTTGTGCGTTTATGCTTTTGCTGACTCGGCTGTGTATTTTTATGTGTTGGATTGAGTTGTTTTATGTAATGTATCCGTTTTTGTTCTGTAGTTGGTCCCCACTTCGGTTTTATCATGTATATCTGTTATATAGTCATTTTATAAAATTTACTGTTTGCAAAATTATAAATTATTCTAAATAATAAGGATGTTCTTGTCCCAGGCAGAAAACCCTGGCCGTGTTAGGCGCAACTTTTTGGAAGTTTTGGTCCTCGGTGCTCTTCGTCTTTGTATTTGTTTTGGCTTTCAAGCTTTT